ACATTTTCCAAGAACCTTCTCTCTTCGTTTCCTCTTACCATTCTTGTTTTTCAGACCGGAGTGCAAGTGTACGGTGTACCGCATGGCTGCCTGTGTGCGAGTAATGTGTTGGGTACACTTGTTGCAGACAACACATGAAGCGAATTAACACGCCTTTTGCCCCTTCATTCGCTTGAGGCAGGAGTGCAAGTGCACCGGCATGGCTCCCTGTACGCGTCATGTTCTCACGCCCGTGGCACGTTGCTCTCCCCTTCTCCCCTCCCCCCCCTTCTCCCCCTCCCTTCGCCCTCTCCCCTTCTCCCCCTCCCTTCTTCGCCCTCTCCCCTTCTCCCCCTCCCCTTCTCCCCCTCCCTTCTCCCCCTCCCCTTCTCCCCCTCCCCTTCTCCCTCCCCTTCTCCCCTCCCCTTCTCCCTCTCCCCTTCTCCCCCTCCCCTTCCCCCTCCCTTCTCCCCCTCCCCTTTCCCCCTCCCCTTCTCCCCTCCCTTCTCCCCCTCCCCTTCTCCCCCTCCCCTTCTCCCCTCCCCTTCTCCCTCTCCCCTTCTCCCCCTCCCCTTCTCCCCTCCCCTTCTCCCCCCCCCTTCTCCCCCTCCCCTTCTCCCCCTCCACTTCGCCCTCTCCCCTTCTCCCCCTCCCCTTCGCCCTCTCCCTTCTTCTTCACCCCTCCCCTTCTCCCCCTCCCCTTCTCCCCCTCCTCTTCGCCCTCTCCCCTTCTCCCCCTCCCCTTCTCCCCCTCCCCTTCTCTCCCCTCCCCTTCTCCGCCTCCCTCTCTCCCGCTCCCTTTCTCCCCCTTCCCTCCTCCCTCCCCTACCCCCTCCCGTCTCCCCCTTCCCTTCTCCCCCTCCCCTTCTCCCCCTCCCCTTCTCCCCTCCCCCTCGATCCTCTTGTTGCCCCCCACTCATTTCCAGCAGGAGTGCAAGTGCAGCGGCATGGCTGCCTGTACGAGTCATGTGTTGAGGCGCATTAACACGCCTTCTGTTGCCCTCAATCCGCAATCCTCAATCCACTTGTTGCCCCGAACTCACTCCAGGCAGGAGTGCAAGTGCAGCGGCATGGCTACCTGTACGAGTCAGCTCCTGCGTATGTGACCGACCAGCCCTTCTTCCTCAACTCGGCAATTCAGGCAAGTATACGAAGACAGGGGTAGTCTTACAGGTTATTTTTTAGAATTCTCAAAGATACTCTGCAAACTTCAGGCAAGGTTTTTCGGTCCAGGGTTCTTTTTTCTTTCGTCCCCTCCCATTTTCTCAATGCATCATATGCACATACCCGCCACTCCCTCCCACCAATCCCTCGCCTCCTTATGAATGCATGTGTGTGCATGCCCCCTAGCCTTCTTTTGTTACATGCAGATTATGCATGTGTGCACGGGACATGCTCCCCCCTTTAACCCGCAGACCGCCCTGTGCCTTGACCCTCCTGACCAGCTGCTCTGTTTCTTTCTGCCCCCTCCCCCCTCGCAATATCACTGCAGGCACACACTACCCTCTCTCCCCACGCCCTCCTGTCTCTCCTCAAGTCCATCGAAGCAAGCCTAGGCAGGGACCTCAACCCCCACACTGCCCAGCGCTTCGGCCCACGCCGTTAGACCTCGATCTGATCTTCTACGGATCCAGAACCGTCCGCCCAGAGGGAACCGCCCCTGCTGAAACCACTCCTGCTTCAAGCCCCAGCACCCCGCTCGACCTCGTGGTACCACACCCACGTTTGGCTGAGAGGCCCTTTGTGCTCGCCCCTATGATTGACCTAGTGGGCGGCTGTGGAAAGGGCAGAGACTTGCCTCAAGGCAGACCTGCTGTGGAGGATTTGCAGGGGGGGGAGGGGGGGCAAGAGGCGAAGGAACCTTCTTGGGTGTTTCACGAGGCGTTTGGGAAGGATGGAGTGCCCGGGTAAGCTTTGCAATGCTCTCCCCTCCTTATTCCTCCTCCTCTCTGTCCTCCTATCACTCTGCTCCTCTCCCTCTCTCTTACTCACCCTATTCCGTCCTCTCTCCCTCTATTCCACTCCCCCTTGCTCTCACATTTCATTCGAGAATATGGTACTATGCTTCCCTTGTTTATGTCTCTCGTTCTGCTTTCCCGTCTCCTCACCCTTCCCCCCCCCCCCCCCCCCAACCACCTCTTGTGCCTTTATCCTTCAGCCGCTGGAGAAATCTAGGCGGGGAGGCAGCAGTAGGGGAAAGGAACCTGCAATGTGCCTTTTTCGTTCTCTACTCTCTCTCCTCCCGTTCCCCACCCTCCTCCTTCTCCCCTCCACCGCCCCCCCTGTCTCCCGTCTTTCAGCCTATGGAGAAATCTAGGCGGCGAGGCAGCAGTAGGGGGAACGGACCTGAGGAGGGTAGTTCCCCTTCCGCAGCGGTTCTTAAGAGGGCAGAGCGAGGGAGGAAGGCAGAGGGGGAGGGGCCCCTGTGGGCATGGGAGGAGGAGCGACGACCTCTGGTGATGGGAGTGCTAAACGTTACTCCTGATAGCTTCAGTGATGGGGGGAGATTCACTAGGAATGGGAATGATAGCAGCAGCAGCAGCAGCAGCAGCAGCGCCAGTGGCACTCACCATACTAATGTGGAGGTGGATGTGGAGGCAGCAGTGAGAGAAGCAGAGAGAATGGTAGCTGAAGGAGCAGACATGATTGACATAGGGGGGCAGTCCACAAGACCTGGAGCCCCGCGCTTGTCGACCAATGAGGAGCTGACACGTGTCATCCCTGTCGTGAGAGCAGTTCGTTTCCGATCGCCAGGTGTCATCATCTCAGTGGACACTTTTGATGCGGAGGTTGCCAGGTCAGCGGCGTTAGCTGGTGCTGACATCATCAACGACGTGTCGGGCGGGGCGATGGATCCTCAGATGCTGCCAACAGTTGCCGCCCTGAATGTTCCATTTGTCCTTATGCACATGCGGGGAGATCCCTCCACCATGCAGTTGTCCGAAAACACCGCGTACAAAAATCTCATTGCTGATGTGGCAGCTGAGCTGGCATGCCAGGTGGCAGCTGCTGAGAGGGCTGGGATTCCCCTGTGGAATATTATTCTGGACCCGGGCATCGGGTTCGCCAAAACTGGGCAGCAAAACTTGGAGCTAATCAGAAATCTCGGGCAGCTGAGACAAGAATTGGGCAGGTGGAGGAAGGGCTTGGAGCATGTGCCGATGCTACTGGGTCCTTCAAGGAAAGGTTTTTTGGGTAAGCTCACTGGCCGGGCAGCTGGAAAAGATCGTGATTGGGCGACATGTGCAGCAGTGGCAGCTTGTGTAGCAGGAGGGCAGATATTGTTCGAGTGCATAATGTTGGTGCTGGTCGAGACGCTGCTACTGTGGCAGCAGCTATTTTTAGGAATGCGGGGTCTTAAGACACTGCTTTTATGGTGCACTAACATGAAAGGAATGCGTTTTTTAAGATCTCGAGCTTGGTGCAAGCTGCTCAAGCTCTCGCCTTTTCCCTTTATTCTCAAACTTTGGGCCTTAATAGACGATGATAGTCGCTAGAAAGCATCTACCCATTCCGCAGGTGTACTATGGCCCTACCGTGCTGCACGATCATAACGCGGATGGAATGGACTGGTGGGTCCACCCGCGTGCTGTTCGCAAGTCAGCTATGGTTTCGCTTCCACTTGGCTGCCTTGGTACTGTACAGTCGCTGTAGCAGTTCGGTTTGATTTGACGACGAAAGCAAAAGCCTAACGCGAACGAGGCTGTCGCTCTTGCGAAAAGGAGCACCACATTTCGCCAAAGAAAGATGGTCTGCTCACCTGGCTGCACTCTGCTTGGGTGGCAGAACACGAAAAGACCCCTTGTCGTTTTATGACCTGGGCAATCGTCCGCGACGGGTCACCCTTTCGTCTAAGGCACGACATCAAATGAACCCGTTCCTGAGGATCTATCCTCCGTCAGTGCATACTTACCGTTGATCTCTTATGCTGCAGCGCATCCTGCGGACGAGGCAGCGCAAAAGATATGTCAAAGATATTTTGATTGCCACACCCGAGGCGTCAATTTGAAACATGGTCCTCGCGGGTGCTGCGGTGCGGAAAGCTGGCAAAGCGAACGAGTCTTCCGAGTCACTTTTGGACGTATTGCACAACACTCGAAGCTCATTGGCTGACAGAGAGTATCGCGTTCACCGCAACTCTCGCAAGCAAGGGAGCATGCTTGGCTTGGCTGGCTCATCTCATCTCATTACGCTCGGCGCACAGCGCTGCGCGAACGAGGTTTCGTTTGGTCGACGAAGCCAAATCCCAACTTCCAGCGCGGTTGCGATTGGCCTTCCGAAAACAAAACAAGCATGCCCACCACGCTCGCCAATGCCAAGCCAAAACGGACCCTTTTCCGCGCGTCGCCAAGCCCCCCAACCTCCCCCCCGCCATCCGCTACGTCGCCGCCGTCTCGTCGTCCCTGACCCCCTCCGCCTCACGTCTTCTCTCCCCACCCCTTCTCTCCCCTGCGGTCGTCGTGTCGTGGCCCACTCCGAGAAACCCCCCAGCCCCCCCGCCCCTCTGCCCCTTTTCCCCCCCCCCCTCACCCCCCTGCCCCTCTTGCAACGCTTCCCTTCCGCCCCATCGCGAACATGTGCAGTGCGGAAGCTTGGAACCTGTGCACTCCAGTAGGCAGTAGGAGCTAGGTGGCTATTTACTGGAATGCCGAGGAATGCCGTCCACATTTCGGAATTCCACCTCAAAAGCGCCCCTACATTGTCGGCCTCGCCACAGCCCCTTTACGACGCAATTATCCGTCACGGACTCCAGGAAGGATCATTAGGCCACGCTGTCTCACCGCGCATCGCAACGATTCATAGCAGTCGACTCGAGAAACGGTCATTCTTCGGAAGAGTGCCGTTCTGCTGCACTTCACGTCGCTGCGCTGGAACATCAAACATCATGATGGAACCGCCGGCGCTGCCGTTCTTCACGTCGCTCTTCGCCGAGGAGCGCCTCGAGCTTGCCGCGCCCCGGCGAGGGCCCCTCGCGAAACCGCAAGAGAACGCCGCAGCGCGCCACGAAACGCACGGTCATAAGAAAACTGTCGATCAGCTGGAGAAGAACGACCCGAAAAAACAGAACTCGTCAACGACCCCGTCGGCGGTTCAGCAACAGCCCCAGCCCGTTGAGAGGGCGTTTTCCGCGCGTGAAGGAGGAGCCTGTTGACGACAGCCCCCCCGCCGGCGACGATCTTCCGGATTTCTTCGACCTGTCGAGCGACGGTGACGACCACAGTAACGACGTTGACGTCGATATGCACGAAGACGACGGCGGTGACGGCAGCGGCGACCACGGCGACGGCGACCTTGCTGACGAGGGTGCAGGCGACGTGTCGAACGCGTCGGATGAAGCGACACCCGCGCCGAAATTGGAGTCTTCGCCGCCGCCTCGCGGTTCGCAGGCGCCTTTTTGCGACTCCCAAACCCCTCGCACTTGTCGCAACCCTCTCAGTTCTCACGCATCTCGTGAATCCCCCCGCCGCGGCGCTTTGCCGAACCCTGCATTCGTCGCGAAGCCAAACTTGCTTTCGATTCCCGCTTCCTACGTCCCGGCCCGGGGGCAAGGGCAAGTGAGCAGCACCACTACTACCGCCGCGGTTTGCGGTATGACAAGGGTTTGCGATATGGCAAGGCCCAACCGCACTGGGTGTGGCGCCCGTCTGGGAAGCGATTCGAACACCCTTCGAGTCCCGAAGCCCGTGGCGGCTCTGGCGCAGCGCCTGGCGGCGCAACCAGCGGCGCGGCTTGCGCCGCACGCTAAACGACCGCGCCATGAAGACGACCGTCGAGGAATCGAGGAGGAGGGGGAGTCCGCCTCGGAGGGAGAGGACGAGGAGGAAGAGAAGGTGGAGAAGGGAGAGGGTGGCCGTGCTTTCAATAGTCCACGTAAGCTTTGTGTGACGTCACCATCGCGTCAGCAGCCTGACGGGGCGTCCGCGGCTCCCCGTGTCAACCCCCCATTCGAAGTCAAAGCCGCGCAAGCCCCCACCCCCTCCCTCTCCAACTCTTCCGCGGCGCAAAGGTCCCCCGCCTCTTCCAGTAGGCCCGGCGCCAAGGCGCCGCGCAAGCTCCGGCTGCGCCTGCCGCCCGCGCAAGTCAAAGTGCTCGAGTCGCACTTCACGGAAATCGAGCGCGAAATCAGCTACGAGACGCGACTCGAGCTGGCGACTCGGCTCGATATGAAGCCACGTCAGGTCGCGGTTTGGTTTCAGAACCGGCGCGTGAAACACGCGACGATGATGAGGGAGGGGGAGCTGTCGCGGTTACGCGCGGAGATGGCGCAGGCGCGGGCGGAGCTGGCGGAACTGCTGAAGGCGAATGAGCGGGCGAAGCGGGAGATGGGGGATTTGGCGGGGGAGCACGCGGAGCTGAAATCGAAATACGACGAGCTGTTGGTTTCGACGAAAAGAAAACTGCCCGATAACGATTCGGTGAGTGTTTTTTTTTCCCGTTCAAGACGCTACTGAACAAACGCTGTAGGACGAAAATACAAGGACGTTTTTTCTGCTACGAATCTCTGTCAGTTTCTGTTTTTTCTTTCTATGGTTCTTTTTCTGAAAACCCTGACTTGACAGCTGGAAAGGCGTAAACCCGAAACCGAGCTCCGCTGTCTCCGCTTCCCCTCCTCATGACTCTCCGCTTTCTCCCCCTCCCCTCCTCTTTCCCCCGAGCAGATGAATGCGCCTCCGCATAAACGCGCAAAGCAGGAATTTCCGGAGCCCGCTCGCGCTTCCGCAGGCTCCGCCGAACAGAGTGACGCGCGTCAATGCGGGGAGCGAATTTCGCCCTCTGCCGAGGATGGTTCCGCTATGAACTGCTCTGATAAGAGTGGGTCAAAGGCTTTAGCTGCAGCTGCAAAGCTTCGTCTTAGAGAGGCATTCGAAAAAGATTCTGAGGATTGTGCTATGCAAGAAGTGGGGAGGCAACAAGCTACAAATGGAGACAGCAAAAACGGGGATGAGGACAGCAACAAGGGTGAGGAAGGAAACAGCCTCATGGTAAGCGGCTCCCAGTCCCAAACTACCACCGTGTTACCAACCCGAGAAGACAATCTGTCGAGGTCATCCGCTACACTCACACCTCATACAAGCACATGCACAAGCCATCAAGCCCGGATCAAGCCGATGTGGGTCGACGGAGCAAGCAAGTTACCGAAAGGCCTCCCCCTCTGCTCCATCCTCCCTCAAAATCCATCCACCCCTCGCACCACTCTCTCCCCTCGCGCGGCCTCCTCCCCCCTCTCCCTCGCTCCCCTCCCTCCCTCCCTCATCCCAAGTCCCAACCCACCTCCTCGCAACCTTCCTCTCACTCCGGCTGTCCATCACTCAATGCCTCCCATCGCTCCCTTTCCTCCTCTTCCTCCCACTCCAAGCCCCATGATAGCCTGCCCCAGTTGTTACCTCCCCAGGCATCCCTGCCTCCCCCAAAACGCCCACCTCCACTGGCCGATGGAGGGAATTCATCTCCCCTCTTCCCACCTTCAACAGCGCACCACCCCACTCCCGCTCAACATCCCCCTCTGCTGCGGCTGCGACTACTAGAACTGCTGCTGCTGTTACTGGTGCTCCCTCAACTTCTGCAGCTGCTGCTGCTACTGGTGCTACAGCTGGTTTGAAACCTGTGAAAGTGGTTCCAGTGCCACCTGTGGCTGTAGCCGCACTTGTGGCTGTAGCACCGGTACCCGTCATCTTAACCCCAGCAGGACCAGGAGCCCAAGCTTTGACTGCTACACCTGGGGCGACTGTAGCAGGAGCAGCAGGTTGGCCAGTTGGAGCTGTAGCGTCAAGAGCACCCTTATCTGGCTCAAGTGGCATCCTGCCGTGTGCCACTGTTCATGCTGCAAGTTTTCTGGGACATAATCCCGGGATCCCTGTTCCTCATGGTGCAATTCCCGTAATGCCAAGAGCAGCACCCCCTAGAAGCCTGGCCGCAAGAACGGCAAGAGCTGCAGCGGAGGCAGCGGCAGCAGCAGTGAGAGCAGGTAGAGCAGAGGCAGCTGCTGCTGCAGCAGCACAAGCAGTTGAAGCAGCAGCAGCAGTAACAGCAAGATCAGCTGCAGTTGCTGCATCAGGGGGTGCAGCAGTGGCTGCAGGACAGCAGAGATCAGGAGCACACAGACAGGCGAACGGCCTAGCAAGGGTCAGCGAGGGGAGAGTTGCTGCAACTGCTGCATCAGGGGGGCCGATGGCCGCAGGGCAGCAGAGATCAGGAGCACATAGACAGGCGAACAGTCTAGCAAGGAGTGGGGAGGGAAGAGGCATTGGTGGTGCTGAAACAGGACCACGCGAGTCGAAAGCAGCAGCAGCAGGAGGGAGGGGGAAAGGTGAGATTGTGTTGAATGAGGAGATGGCAGAGAAAGGGCTTACATTGAAGCTGTCACTATAGAGAAGGGTGATTTCTGGTCAGTCACAGTAAGAAGAACCTGCTATGTGCTTGGTAGGTGTTCTATTTTTGTCTGGTTTGGTTTGCTGTGGTGTGGTTTGAGTACCCAAGGAAGCTAGGAGCTAGATAGATTTACTACGGTTTGCCCAGCTGTCTTGTGGCACAGCACAGGCTGTGGCAGCTATAAGGTGTCTAGCTTAGAGAGCACGTGCGTTGCATGCATTAGCTATGATCCACATATTCTATGCATATCATATAACATTTGCTGGTTTTTATTTGATTACAGCCATTGCTGGCCCTTTCATGACATACTAGTTAGAACACATCGCGTAGTATGGCACGGGCCGGAACACATTTTCTCGGGAACTTGCTGGATCTGGATTACTCGGTAACATTTTGGATGGTGAAGAAAGTTCTTACAGGAGAGGAGAGGAAGCCTAAAGAGGAGGGGAACTGCTTTTGTTTGAAAACACCAGGTCCAGCAGCAGCAATGTGATATTATAACATATTGGGTCAGTTGGATTACTCTGTCACATCTTGGATCGTGAAGAGCAGCACAGCGATCTTGTAGGAGAGGAAGCCTATAAAGAGTGGGGCGAACTGCACATAATGAAACAGAAGGCAGATGGGGCGAGGTGGGACATCTGAGTGAGACACGGAAGCAATGATAAGCATGAAGGAAGATGTAGGAATATAAAGAGGAAAAGGGGGGAAAAGAAACATGTTTACATCCCACAGATGGGGCAAGGGAATTGGGGAATCCAGGTAGCGCAGCAGCAGCACAAAGCAGCACCAAGCAGCACCACAAAACAGACCTGAATGTGCAGCGTGTTGTGATAATCCCCTGTGAAGTGCCGCGACAGAGTGCAGAGCAGCTCAAGCCTCGAGGGCAGCAAGAGGGCAGCAAGAGGGCGGAAAGGGGGCAAAATAGAGCAGCGCCAGCCCCGTGCAACCCACCTGAATGTGCAGCGTGTTGGGGTCGTCTCCTGTGAATTGCCGCAACAGCATGCAGAGCAGCACAAGGGCAGCAGCACACACCAGGGCAGCGAGCATCTCACCTGAACGTGCAGCGTGTTGCAATCATCCCCTGTGAAGTGTCGTGACAAGTACCAGAGCAGCACGAGGGCAACAAAACGTCAAAATAGAGCAGCGCCAGGGCCCGTGCAACCCACCTGAATATGCAGAGTGTTGGGGTCGTCTCCTGTGAAGTGCCGCGACAAGGCCCAGAGCAGCAGCAGGGCAGCATGCATGAGGAGGCGGCGCGAGGAGAGGGCGAGCTGAGCTCCCTGCATCCAACACCCACCACCCTCTCCTGTCAACACCCACCACCCTCTCCTGTCAACACCCACCACCCTCTCCTATCAACACCTGCCATGCTTCCTTTAAAGCTCACCTGAATGTGCAGCGTGTTGGGATCATCCCCTGTGAAGTGCCGCGACAGCGCCCAGAGCACCACGAGGGCAGCGGGCACGAGCAGGCGGCGCGAGGAGAGGGCGAGCTGAGCTCCCTCCAGCAGCTTCTGCGGCGAATCCACGGACGCCAGGCTGTCTACCAGACCCTTCCTGCGAACAGGAACGACGTATGCAGGTGATGGGGTGGGTACAGGGCCGTGGTGGTGGGTGAGTAGGGGGGGGACGAAGACGTTGGGCGAGCTCTGCCCCCCCAGCAACTTCTGGGGCGAATCAACAGATGCCAGGCTGTCAACCAGGCCCTTCCTGATTAGATGATAGTGGGGGGAAGGCAGTGCGTCTGAAATGTGTTCACATTTACACTCTGTGAGGTGCCTCGAAAATCGTCTGAAACGGGTCAGGGTCAGGGTTTTTTTTCAGGGTTTTTTGTTGTCTCAGGGTTTCCAGCCTCACCTCTTCGGCTTTCTCCTGTCGATAAGGAAGGCTGGGGGCAGGTCCTCGGGCCCAATGGTGTCAGTGTCGGTGAAGAGCAGCAGCAGGTAGAGGCAGCTGGGGGGAGGCAGGGGGGAAAGGCGGAAGTGGGGGAGAAGGAGAAGGGGAGGAGTAGACTTGAGCATTTTACCCGGTCGGGTCGCGGGTACCCGACCAGACCCGACATTTTGGCCGGGTCGGGTAATAGGATTTTGACGAATTACCCGGCCGGGTCGGGTCGGGTACTCGGGCCAGGTAATGCATACCCGTTACCCGAGAATACCCGAAATGATGGGTAATTTATTACTCGTCGGGTCGCGGGTACCCGACCCGACTTTGGGTTTGTTCCTCCAGGTTAGCTGAATTTTTCCGCCACCTAGGGGTACCCGGGTAATATTACCTGACTTCAATTAAATGCGGGTTGGGTATACCCGACCCGCCAGACGGGTACCCAATTACCCGGTGTTAAAATGCCGGGTCGGGTAACAGACCTCCAAACATTACCCGGAAATTACCCGACCAGACCCCACCCGCACCCGATCGCGGGTAGGGCAAAACCGGGTCAGGTCGGGTAATTACCCGGTTTTGCTCATGCCTAGGGAGGAGGGAAGGGGAGAAGGGGGGGTGGGGTGAAGGGCGATATGAGGAAAGCTGGGGGCAGGTCCTCGGGCCCAAGGGTGTCAATGTTGGTGAAGAGCAGCAGCAGGTAGAGGCAGCTGGAACAGATGGTTGGGGGGAAAGGGATTGAGAGGGAAGGGAGAAGGGGGTGGTGAGGTGAAGGGGGATGTAAGGAAGGCTGGTTGGCGGCGGCAGGTCCTCGGGTCCAATAGTGCCGGTGTCGCCAAAGAGAAGAAGCAGGTAGGTAGGTAGCTGGGGTGAGAAAGATGATGGGGGTGGGGGGACGACATCGAGAGAGGCAATGCCAGTGAAGAGAAGCAGCAGGTATATGCAACACAACTGGCTGAAAGAAGAAAATGGGGGGAAGCGGGGGAGTGGGGAGAAACGGGGGAGTGGGGAAGCGGAGGAGAGAAACAGCAAGACGAGAGAAGCAGAACCCTCTATCAGGAGCCAGAAAACCTCCAAACCAAACCCTCAAGCCCTAAACCCTAAAATCCCCAACCCTCGAGCCCAGAACCCTTGAGCCCCAAAACCTCGAGCCCACAACCCTCGAGTCCAAAACACTCGAACCCCAAACCCTAAGCCCAAAACACTCAAATCCTCAAACCCCAAAACCTCGAGCCCGAAACCCTTTCGTCGAAAACCCTAAAGCCCAAAACCTTGAGCCCAAAGCGTCAAGCGAAAAACCCTCGAGCCCGAACCAATCCCCTGTGACGATTGGGAAAAGAAATCACCTGGCAGCGCTTCCGATGCTGTAGCTGATGGCCGTCTGGACGGGATGGGAGGGGGCGCATGGATGGGATAAGACGGGGCACACGAATAGGATGGGAGGGGGTCACATGAAAGGGATGGGATGGGAAGGGTAGTGCGAGATATGGCAGTGGAAGAGAGCAAACTTTCAATGCAGAACGTGGAACTTGTGCTCTAGTTTTGATGCTTTTTATCTTCTCTTGGGTAACTGTTTGCTTGTTTCTGTCATACTATTCCGACTCAAGCTGCAGTTGCCGGCATTGAGGTGGTAGAGTTGCATCTCATTGAATTTGCGGCGCCTAAAAGTAGCCGCACTTGCCGGCGGTGCTAGAGTTGCATCTCATTGCTTTTGCTGCTGCACTGCAGTACAGTTAATCGTGCAATTTGGCTGATATATCCCCTGAGAACCCTCCTCCCCAACCCCAAGAGCAAATTCCCTGGTATCCTGACCCGTACTCTTAGTAGGCTCATTCTAACTACACTCCCCTACAAGTGCAAATCCTCCCCCCAACCCTCCCCACTCATACACTCTCACCCACTCGAACACGCACGCACGCCGACTTTCACACACTCTCACACACACGCACCTCAATGGAGATCCCGAGGAAGCAGTAGAGTGTGCCTGCTGCCCCCACCCCTATGGCGGTTTGCGATAGCTGCCGCTTCAACTGATGCAGTTAAAAGGGGAAGGGAAAATAGGAAGAAGGGTATGTAAGGGGGTTAGGGGAAGAAGAGCGTGCCTGCTGCCCCCACTCCAACAGCTATTTCGGACAGCTGCTGCTTCAATTGATGGCAGAAAAGGAGGGAGATGTACAGAAGAGACAGAATTAAAGGAGGTTGGGGTAAGTAGAGCGTGCCTGCTGCCCCCACCCCTATAGCCTTTTGTGACAGCTGCCGCTTCAACTCGTGACAGTGGGAGAGGGGGGAAAAGTCTATTTTTGAGGCGCCTCAAAAATAGCTGCCGCTTCAACTGGTGCCAGTGGGGAGAGGAAAAAGTGGCAGGGATCAGGCGGGAGAGGGGAACTGAGGTTAGGGAGGAAGGGTGTTTCTGCTGCCGCCACTCCAATAGGCACCTGCAGCAGTTAAGGGTGCAGAGGAGAAAGGAATTCCAGAGGAGTGCAGGCACATTAGAAAGAGCGACGGAACGTGGCCAATGATGGGAGTAGAGAACGGGGAATATTGGCTCACGGCTCAACGCACGTCGGAAAGTAGTTCTGAGGCGCCTGAAGTATTTGAAAGCACGAGGGAACTGTGGCCAACAATCTGAGCACGGGAATTATGTGGCTCACGGCGCGAAGGAGGGAGACGTGGCTCAGATTATTGAGAGCATGAAGGAGGCATGACTCATACACTCTCTTTCGTGTCATGAGGTGAAAGAGACATGACTCATACTCTCTCTTTCGTGCCATGAGGTGAAAGAGACATGACTCATACTCTCTCTTTCGTGTCATGAGGTGAAAGAGACATGACTCATACTCTCTCTTTCGTGTCATGAGGTGAAAGAGACATGACTCATACACTCTCTTTCGTGTCATGAGGTGAAGGGGACGCGACTCACATCGCCGTATTCTCGCATGGTCAGCTGCCGTTGCTCCTCCCTCCGCCTCCTCATCTCCTGAAATGGTTGGGGGTGGTGGGGGAATGGATGTATACGCATAGTAGTGGGCACGTGAATGTACTTCTATGCATACATAAAGATATATCTACAGATATATGTATAAATATCTATATATATATATATATGCATGCATGTGTGTCTGGATGTGTATGCCCATGTGCATGTATGTCACTGCTCAGGTGCGCGCATGCATGTGTATGAAAATGCACATGTCTTGGCGTTTTTAAACCCTGACATTCGTGAGCATAGACACGCAAATACATCCACAGGCCTCGTCAGCGGATCAGGCATCCACGCTTTCAGCTTGAGGCGCCTCAAGACTAAATGAGCACGGGAGTTTGTGAGCGTAGATACGTGAATGAATCCACAGACCACGTAAACGGACCAGGCATCCACGGGTTCAGTTACGAAGAGAGTGAATTCGATTGACCCGCAGCGAGCCTTCTGAGGGAGTAGATTCAAATCTTAGAGTGAGAGTAAACGGAACAGACATCCATGGCTTCAGGCCGATGTCACACGATTCGAGCACAAGAAAGACCGGCCAGCGTAACCATCCGGTACAGTCAGCATGGAAAAGTGCCGTGTGACATTGTAGCGAGGTGACTTTTGAGTCGACTCAGAAGAAAACCTGACCGGCGTAACCATCTGGTACAGTCAGCATGAAGCAGCCATTGCAAGGGCTCGCACCTCGTATTGTCGGTTCGGATCCGAAGCTGCGAGCCTGGCTTGTGTCCGAGCCTCCGTCTCAGCCTCGAACGGCCGAGACACAACGGATTCACCGCCATCATTCGGACCTCCCAGCTGGCATGTGACTGTAGAGAGGCGTGACAACGACGAGGACGGCCGTCGGCGTGACTGAAAGGATAGGGATGTTGGATAGAGTTGATTAGTCATACCATGGCTGCTGCTGGTACAAACATCTCTTGGAAAAATAATTGACGCAAGACTGCTGCATTATTCGTTAGTGATAAACCACGGGTGCTTTTTACGTTGCTTAGCTCCATATGTGCCAAAAAAAAAAAAACTCTCTTTTCAAGCGTAGCACTCACACAGGGCAACGCTTGACCGGCATTTAGCCGCAGTTGCATGGTTGATGCTCGTAGTAGTGCCATGCTTAGCTAAGTCTCCGTCAACCCGCTGGACGATCTGCTTCAGGCCCTTCTGGACCGTGGAGGTTCCGTTAAGCGTTTTTGTGAATGACGATAAAAATCACGGAGAAACGCGAGGCAGCTCTGCTCAATTGGAGCTTTTTGAGTCGGCTAAAAAATCACCTCCGAAACGCGAGGCAGCTTTGCTCAAGTGGAGCTAGCGGAGCCGAGTCGGCGGCGGCTAGCGTCGGCTTTTGAGTTACAAGCTTGCGCGGCTCAACGTCGGGGACGAGCAGAAGCAGGACAAAGCGCGCCGAGCGGATATTATGAATATATATTCTGATGGGTTAGGGCGAAAACTAAAAGATGGATATATTCTGATCAATCTTCACCCTGGCGTCGGAGCTAGCGATGGAAGTAGCAGAATGTACGGGGGTTGTTGCTCCAAAACCAAACCGTCGATCGCCCAGGCGCTGACAATGACGCTGATGATGATGAAAGCCGAATCACCCTGGTATTTACGACTGACGGACCTTTTACGGAACGCGTGCTACCTAACGAGCCTCCAGCCTTGTCCAGCGAGGCGAGAGAGAGAGAGCTCCGTATTGTCTGATCACCTCGGGAACTCCACCCACGCTGATAGGCGTGTAGGAAACAGTCAGGGCTTTCGAAGTTAGGACTTTGGGACCTCCAGCAGATTCTTGCGCATTCCCAGCCTCCGTGGATCCTCTTTTGGATTGTCATAAAGATTGTCCGGGGAGTATTCAGCGTGTCGCCTTCAGCGTCTCAGTTCTGGATCGTATCGTCCTTGTGCGAACCGAATGGGACTTTAGTGCCTCGAGTCAGTTTCACCGTCTATTTGCGTCACAAAGCGTGGGGGAGAGGGGATCAGGGGACTCCAAATCCGTGAAATCGTGAGGTTGGGAGATAGTCGTTCCGAATTGTGGGAACTTCAGGTGTGACTTCGCAATCGCTGTTCATTATAAACGCGCTCCTTTTTCAAGGTCAGCCTTGTCATCTCCACTGTGTCTGCAAGGAAATCCACGGTGGCAGCCTCACGGATCTGTCGAACGCATCGTGGTGACGTGGCAGCGGATACCCATTGTGTTCGTGACATGTCACATGGGCTGGCGAGAGCCGCTATCAGCTATCCGGCATATTAGGCTCATGTAAAGATAGCTATAAAAAAAAAATAGCCTATCTCTACAAACTGCCACCATTTTCAAAAGAGGTGCAGTGTCAAAAATCACTCGACTATATCACCTTGTTCTCCGTTTTGATGGCGGTCGCCTTGTGTTCCCTCTCGTCGTTACAGCTGCTTTTGGCGGAAGAGCAGACTTTTGTGTCACAGGCAACCCCAAAGAGGCGCTCTCAGGGGACGAAGTGGACGATGGAGGCTTAATTATGGGGATTCCAAGAGCCTTCCGCACCCCGGGCCGCTTAAATGCTGGCAATTAGGGACAGGAGATGAATGGGGGTTAGATGGGGGAGGGCGCGGGTGGAGTAGGGTGGGGGATGAGTGGGGGGGGGAAGTGGGGGAAGGAAAGGGAAAGGACAAGCATTGTAAGGATGAAAAGAGAAATGCCAAAGAGCAAGATCAGAGTGAAGTGGATCAGCAAAACCACGAATGCTGACTTGTTGGAGAAATAAACTTTTATCGTGCATCGCCCGGATAGTGTATGTTTAACTTATCAGTATATGAACCTAGGTATGCCATGACTTATATTCAACACATACCAAGGCCTTGGACAAGAGAGAAGGCGTTGGTGGTGATCCAGTAGCAGAACACAGCCTGCAGGATTGCATACAATGGGCAGTAGAGAGAGAGAGAGAGAGAGAGAGAGAGAGAGAGAGAGAGAGAGAGAGAGGAGAGAGAGAGAGAGAGGAGAGAGAGAGAGAGGGAGGGAGGAGAGAGGGAGGAGAGGAGAGAGAGAGAGAGAGAGAGAGAGAGAGAGAGAGAGAGAGAGAGAGAGAGAGAGAGAGAGAGAGAGAGAGAGAGAGGGAGGGAGCGAGGAGAGAGAGAGAGAGAGAGAGAGAGAGAGAGAGAGGAGGGAGCGAAGAGGAGAGAGAGAGAGAGAGAGAGAGAGAGAGAGAGAGAGAGAGAGAGAGAGAGAGAGAGAGAGAGAGAGAGAGAGAGAAAGAGAGAGAGAGAGAGAGAGAGAGAGAGAGAGAGAGAGAGAGAGAGAGAGAGAGAGAGAGAGAGAGAAAGAGAGAGAACATAAGTGACGCATGAGTTTATTAGCGAAATCTGAAAACAAAGCTAAGAGCGAGCATGATGAACAGGTGTAACATCACACAGTGCACCTGACTGAAGTGGAAGTTACCTTAGGGAATGTGACAGTAAGCGGCACCATGGTCACAGCAAGTCCCCGCATGAACCACTTCATCTGAGCTGCATTGGGCGCTCCCTCCATGCCCTCTGCTGCATTCAGCTGGGTGAGAAGGAGGAGGGGAAACGGGGGCCAGGGGGGAGGAGAGGCAAGTCTGCACGCGCACAAACCTCTGAGCTGCATTGGGCGCTCCCTCCATGCCCTCCGCTGCATTCAGCTGGAATAATAAAAGAGTAGCCGGACACGCAGGGCACACATTGAGGAAAAGGCACATGTGAGACCGTGTCTTATGAGTCTCTTTTTGAGTCTACTAAAAAATAGACTCATAACACAAAGGCACGTGTGAGGGGCAGGGGACAAGTCCCCCCGCACGGACCCCTTCATCTGTGCTGCGTTAGGTGCTCCCTCCATGACCTCCGCAGAGGTGAGCTACGGACGAGAGAGGGGGGGTCAGAGAGAGGAGACGCGAGCAATGCACTGAGCAAGTCCCCGACCGAACCACTCCTTCTGAGCTGCGTTGGGTGCTCCCCCCATGCCCTCCGCTGTGTCCAGCTGGGTATAGGGGTGAGAATGCCTCGTGTAGCATTGTAACGAGGTGTCTTTTGAGTCGACTCAAAGGCCAGGTGGGTATAGGGGTGGGAAGGGGATAGGGAGGTGACCGACAGATGCGTCAGTCAGGGGAAGCAGGTGGAGGGAAGGGGGGTGGCAGGGAAAAGGGGGCTGAGCGGGGTCCAGTTGGAGGGAAGGGGGGTGGCAGGGTATTTTGAGTCGACTCAAAATACAACTGGTCAGTCAGGGGAAGGGGGGTGGCAGGGAAGAAGGGGCTGAGAGGGGTCATTCAGAGAGAGTGAGATACGTGGCAGCAGGTGGAGTGGGCCGGGTGTTGTGAGAGAGAACCGTGACGTGAACCAGAGGGTTTGAGTGCACTCAAGACCACAAACTTGAGAAAATCAAACCCTAGACTAGACCCCCTGCCCGCACTTCAGCGGCAGCCAAGACGAGCGGTAGCAGGTAGAGAGCAGATCGGGTGTTGCTTGCGAGGCCTGTGAACCAGACAGCATGAGTCGACCCAACACCAGAAGCCTAAAACCCAGGACACATCCAACTCACCTCAACGGCTGCCAGGAGTCCAGCAGACGAGATGAGTGGCAGCAGGTAGAGGGGGTCGGGCGAGGTGAGGTCTGAGAACCAGAGGGCACTGTCAGCTGAGTGCTCCCAGCCTTATCCTCCTACCCCCTCCCCCTTCCCCCCTGCCCTCACCTCAACTGCTGCCAGGAGTCCAGCAGGTGAGATGAGTGGCAGCAGGTAGAGCGGGTGAGGGGTGGTGAGGTCCGTGAACCAGAGGGTGCCTTTAGAGTGCTCAAAACCACACGCCTCTTTTACCCCCAACCCCTAAACCCCTCTGCCCCTCACCTCAATGGCGGCCAGGATGCCAGCAGATGAGATGAGCGGCAGCACGTAGAGCCTATTTTTGAGGCGCCTCAAAAATAGAGCGGCAGCACGTAGAGCAGGTCGGGCGTTGTTGTGAGGCATGAGAACCAGAGGGCTTGACTCTTGAGTGCTCAAAACCACTGGCCACTTTAACCCAAACCCTTTCACCACTGTATGTAACCCAACCAAAGCTCTAACACCCCAGTCCTCACCTCAACAGCTGCCAGTATCCCAGCAGAGGAGATGAGTGGCAGCAGATACAGCGGGTCGGGCGTTGTGAGGTCCGTGAACCAGAGGGCACCGCCTGTAGCAAAGGATGGCATGTGCTCTGCCATTCCAGTGATCTGTGCATGGGGATGGGGGGGGGGGGGGGGGGGAGGGCAGGGCAGGGCAAGGGGAAGAGAACTCTGAGGGTCTGAAACCGATGTTTAAATAATATCACCATACTGATTCGTTTGTTATTAAAAAAAAAAAAAAAACAAAAAGGGGGTAAAAACCACCAGACTGATATGCCTGGCAGCAGAAGAGCATGCTTTTGACAGGAGCTCACAGCAAAGTAGAATCCAATGGATACGGGAGCCTGCAGGAATGATCAAATGCGACACGTGCATGTCCATGTGCATGGGCATGTGCATGTGCATGGGCATGGGCATGGGCACGTGCATGTGCATTCACGCACATCTGTCCGCATTTCCCCATTAGCAAGCTCACAGCGTGAGGAGTCGATTTTTGAGGCTCCTCAAAAGTAGAAGGCGATGGATACGGGAGGTTGCGGGGATATCATCTCAGACAGCTCAAGCAAACTAAACGCATGACCAAACACTGGGCTGTTTTTGAGTCGACTCAAAACACACTGGGCTGGGACGACCAAAGGCGAGCTCACAGCAAAGTAGAAGGCGATGAAGACGGGCGCTTGCAGGAATATCCCGAGCAGCGGCGCAAAGGGCGTGGTGTTGTGCCTGGGGAAAACGGATAACGGGAGAACATGGGGGAAGCAACGGGGGAAAATGTGGGGTGTCAGGGGAGAGGGGGGGGGGGGGGGGGTAAGGCATTTGCGGGAATGCTTTGAGCAAAGGACGTGGTGTTGTGCCTGGGGAGGTGATGAAGGGGAGTGGAGAAGGGGAGGGGAAGAAAGGGAGTGGAGAAGGTGAGGGGAAGAAAGGGAGAAGGGAAGGGAAGGGAAGGAGAGGGAGAAGAGGGGTGCAGGGAGGGAGATGGAGAGGGTAAGAGTGCAGGAGGAAAAGGGAGGAGGCGGATGCACGCACTGGAAAAGAAATAGGACTTTTGAGGTGCCTCCAAGGCGGATGCAAGCGCCTCCAAGGCGGATGCACCCGCCTCAAAGGCGGATGCACCTGCCTCAAAGGCGGAAGCACCCGCCTCAAAGGCGGAAGCACCCGCCTCAAAGGCGGAAGCACCCGCCTCAAAGGCGGAAGCACCCGCCTCCAAGGCGGAAGCACCCGCCTCCAAGGCGGAAGCACCCGCCTCCAAGGCGGAAGCACCCGCCTCAAAGGCGGAAGCACTCGCCTCAAAGGCGGAATCACCCGCCTCAAAGGCGGAAGCACCCGCCTCAAAGGCGGAAGCACCCGCCTCCAAGGCGGAAGCACCCGCCTCAAAGGCGGAAGCACCCGCCTCAAAGGCGGAAGCACCCGCCTCAAAGGCGGATGCACCCGCCTCAAAGGCGGAAGCACCCGCCTCAAAGGCGGAAGCACCCGCCTCAAAGGCGGAAGCACCCGCCTCAAAGGCGGAAGCACCCGCCTCAAAGGCGCATGCACGCATGTACTTTTAAGGAAAGACGGGGACTTTGTGACAGACGGGGGGAACAAAGAGCAACGGGCGGGGTCTTGCGCCTTCGGAAGGGGCGGTGAGTGAAAACAGGGAGTGCCGAGGAATGCAGGGAGGGAAGCGAAGGTGGTTTTTGAGTCGACTCAAAAATCACCTTTTGAGTCGACTCAAAAATCACCTTTTGAGTCAACTCAAAAATCACCTTTTGAGTCGACTCAAAAATCACCTTTTGAGTTGACTCAAAAAGTACCGAGGAATACAGGGAGGGAAGCGAAGGTGGGCGAGCACAAATTGTTGTTTGGCTCTTATCAAGTCCCTCAGCTGTTCGTTTCCGCTCACTCACTTCTTCATCAGGGCCTGTAACAGAATTAAGAAAAGCACTATACACTAAGCCGATTAAAAAGAATCCCTTAGCGCTTACTTCTTCAACAGGGCTTGCATCTTGCCATTGTAGTGAGTCACCGCGTCCGTGTCATAGCCCTGCACACAACCAAGAGGGAAGGGGGGAGCGGGAGAGTAAGTAGGGGGGAAGAGAGAGAACGGGAGAACGGAAAGGTCGGAGAGAGGGGGGGGATAGAGCTTAAGGTTTGGGGCTTGCATCGAGACATGATAACGAATCACAACCTTCGTATCATTCAAAAGACTCGGGGATAAACCTTCTTAGTTGACTAAAAAATCACCTGGGTTTTAATTCCCCGCTGTTAATTTGGTCATTATAAGCATGCAGCTATTGATGTCCACACAGTGATGCGAGGATGATAGGTGATGAGAGAACCAAAGATGAGAGTGGGGACTGCCAAATGTGAAGGAGAGAGCCAGCTATGATGTGGTTGAGTGTGACGCATCCACGACCGTTGCACAAGTAGTGGAGGATGTAGACATAACTAAGACCTTTAGAGCCTACGATGCTCGTGTAATGCTGAACTTGCACTCCTCGTCCTGATTCTCTCGTCTCACACCAACCTCGACCTATCGCTATCTCCTTGTAACAAGTCGGCCCGATCATGATACATATTTGTTTAATGCCTGGTGCGGAGGGTGGCCTAAGATATCAGTGAGGAGGGCTGTCAGGCCTTTGGGGTGTTTTTTTTTTTGGATGCACAACAACATAGGATGCACATCACCTTGACAAAGAATAACAAGATCTATGTCCTAGGTGAGCTGACGATTGTGGACCATGATTTTTTCGCAACGCCGTGCTCGCACAAAGCTCACAATCACGAGCTCACTTGAAACTTTGTTCTTATTATTATTCGACATGGTGATGTACGTCCTTTGCTGATACAACCCAAAGGCCTTACAGTCCTCTCACAAACATCGCTAGCCACCCTCTGCACTAGAGATGAAAACAACAAGCAGGCACGGCTCTATTACATCGAAACAACGAGAGGTCGAGGTTGGTGCGCGACGAGAATCACAACGGAACTCGCAAATCCAGCATTTCAAGAGCACTAAGGCTCGAGACAAGCTATGCCTACCTCCACTACATGTGCAACGATCACGGATGCGCACAATAATTCAGCTCCTAGTTTTCAAGTCAAGGGAGATTACTGCAAAGGGGACTCAGAAGCCTCGGGTTGGATTTTTGCACCTCCATTGAATTTGTGACCGTATCCACATGTTTCTTCTTAGACAACTACAAAATTACCAAGGTTCGATTCCCCCACCATAAAATTGGTAATGATATAAATTCTGGCTTTCGATGTCCAAAACGGTGATGGGAGGGCGAAAGGTGAGGAAGCGACCAATTTGATCAGCCCTTGGATCTTCATATGGGCCAGTAGAGTGGTTGGGTGCGACTTACCACCTAGGAACGAGATGCAAGATAATTGCAATGGTAGGGAGTGGTAAGGAGTGGTAGGGGGTGGTAGGGCGTGGTAGGGTATGGTAAGGCGTGACTCACCGCCGCTTTGACTTTGTTGAGCAGCCGCTCCATCTCCGGTTTGATCAGCTGATGCCAGATGGAGGCAGGAGGGATGGGTGGGATAAAAAAAAGAAACAACAGAGGTTTAAGGAAGATTTAGAGATGATCAAACCAAGCCAGGATAATGGAAAATCTCACAAGGGGACGAGACGACTATTTATTAGATTAAACAAATAACGAGAACTGGATTACTGGAGATTTTATATCATGGTACAGTGCCGGAAGTACTGTACCCTCTAGGATACGTTTGAGTTCAAGCGGCAACGCCGCACCGGTGATTGAATAAAGATGTTGTGCATGCAACAAACCAAATAAGGCATGTAACAGTACACCCTACCATCAAGACATACCGCCACAATTACTTCAGATGCCACCGTCTAGACTCACCACCGTCTGGACTCACCACCGTCTAGACTCACCACCGTCTGGACTCACCACCGTCTAGACTCACCACCGTCTAGACTCACCACCGTCTGGACTCGCCACCATTCGATTCACCACCATCAAAGGGAGGGTACCAGAGTGACCCACTGCCATCTTGACCGTTGATCTGACTTGGTAGATGAACGCCGGCAGCAGGACGAGCAGATCTTGCTGGTTTTTCACAGCCAATGCTGGCTTAACCACGCAGCTCCACCAACCCCACCATTACTCACCGTCATCGAGGGGAGGATAGAGTGACTCACCGCCATCTTGACCGTTGATCTGACTTGGTAGATGAACGCCGGCAGCAGGACGAGCCTGATTCCCACTGTAGCCGCTGCTATGGAGAGCCACCTGTGATTGTAACGAGAAGTTGCAATAGAGGAGAGTGAGTATATTGACAAGATACTGTAGATAATGCAGGCAGCAGGAGCAGCAGCCTATGCCCCAACTGTGGCTGCTGCTATGGAGAGCCACCCGAGGAACGGGTGTGATTATAACGAGGAGATTGCAACAGCAGAGTGTGAGTGTAACGAGATGACACTTTACATGAATGCAGGCAGCACGTGGTGCCTGATTCTCACTGTTGCTGCTGCTAGGGACAGCCACCTGTGACTATAACGAGAAAGATGCAACAGCGGGTAAAACCAGGTCAGGGTGTGAGGGTCAGGATGTGAGGGTCAGGGTGTGTGGATCAGGGCACACACTCCCGAACGAATAGCAAGCCACCCACCTACCATGACAGTTACGGCATGCACAACCCCCCATGGCATGCACAACCCCCCATGGCATGCAAAACCACCTTTCATGCAAAACCCGCTGCAGGGTAAACCCCCCATGGCATGCACAACCCCATGAACAGGACCCGAAACCCCTGCACGTGGGTAAGCCACGTGGCAAAACATAACCATATGCCCAACACAGACCATATGACACGTCACCTACCACGGCAGGCCTGCCACGTCATGCACTGCGCCAATCAGCTGCTGCAACATGGCGATGGGCGCCGAGCAGTGCGCCGCCGCCGCTGCCAGCTCAGACGCCAGCGTCACCCCCACGTCCGACGTGGCAGCACCGATGACGCCAGCAGCGCCTTCGCCCAGTACAGCACCGCTGACGTCAGCACCGGAGGGAGGCGGCAAGTCAGTCAAAAAAGATTCGCCACCGGTTGAAATCTGACTGTCGCTGGTATTATAGCTGCCGCTGCCGTCGTTAACGTCGCTAGGGCCACGACTAGCGCCAGAGGCGGCGCCGGTTCCGGCGCCATTCGGGGAGAGGGCGGAGGAGTGAAATCCGGCGGCTGAGAAGGCGAGGTTTCTAGATGCACCATGCGCGGAGTGAAATCCAGCACCATGCGACGCGGAGCGGAAGCCGCCGGAGGAATGTGCGGAGGTGAGGGGGGAGGTAAAGGGAGCGGAGCGGAAAGGGACGGGGTGAGGCGAGGCGGACGGGGAACTGGCGAAGCGGAAAGGAGCGGGCGGAGAGACGGGGGAGGCGGAAGACGGGAGCGCGGAAAAGCGGAAATGCGGGGAGGGGGATGATTGGAAGGCGGACGTCGCGTCGGGTTCCCCGTCGGAATCTGACGGAGAAAAGCCTAATACCCTCTTGGGAACGACGGGGAGGCCTAATAATTGACGAGCTAAGACGTCGGGAGATGCAGCATTCGAATCTGAACGGTCACGATCGGCGATCTGCTGCTGACGTGGATCGTCCAACTCGGCTGCGCTCGTTTCCTCCCATTCGCGGTCACGGCATCCGACGCTAAAAAACGAATCGGATCTGATCGTGCTCGCAACGCCGACGCGATACCACCTATCCCATCCGGACGGTCCAGATCCACCGAAGAGCCCTACTCCGTCATCACAGCCGTTGATCCTAGTGGTGGAGCAACCACCGCGAAAGCCGGCGCTGCTAGCACTAGTGCTACCAGCACCACCAGCGCAGGCAGTGCCTTCCGAACGGATCACCCGATTCCAGACTCCTACGGTCTCACCGCCATGGTGGATATCGCGGCGCGATCCACGGCGGCAGAGCCGCTGCAGAAGCTGGAACCGCGTCATAGGAGTCGGAATGCGTTCAAGTTTCCAGGCTTGCTGTGTTTTGCAAGAGGGCTGATTCGTTAGTGACTTACTGCGATGCCGCTACGATAGGGATGGAGTGTTCCGTAATTTAACACCTAGTAGTAGCATATATGTAGTTAATAACAAATAATTATTTGTAAAAATAAGGACGTCGGGAAACTTTCGATTATGGGAGCACGACCATAATAATGACCCAACGCCGCTAGCTCTTTCCATGGGACGGAAGTCGTAGATCCGAAGCATCACAGACAAAGCCTAGTCCGTTCATTAGGTGCTCCAAGCGGGACGGGTTGGTCAGGTAGAGAAAGCCAATCTGAGAGGAGGTAGAGAAAACACAAAAAGCAACACAAGAGAAGATTTGGTTACAAAACACAACACAAGGAGATGCACAATCCGTGGCAGCATTTCACAACAAGCATTTAGATACCCACAAGTAATAGTGCTAGTTGTAGTGACCACAAGTGTTCCAAGTGGCATGACACCAGAGTCACACTCACGAGTGTTTCTAGCGCAGTAGCGTTGGCATAAACAGTGGATCCATCCCTCCCCTTAATGTATGAAGATGCAAAGTGTAAGATTTACGATTATCAACAACTCACAACTGTTTCTAGTGCAGTAGCGTTGGCATAAACAGTGGATCCGGCCCTCCCTTTGGCCTTGCGAGCACCTGTTGAGGCGTTGCGCCCCCACCGCACCACATCCCTGCAGCATGTAGGGACGTCACATGGTTACACAATGACTCAAAAGGCTCCTGTGGAGGCGTTGCGCCCCCACCAACTGTTCCACAACCACTCAGAATGCAGAATTTCAGATTGTATCTAGAATGCTAGAACATTAGCTTACTTAAGATGTCAATGCATCCAGACACACACGCAGACATGCAGACACACATGCAGATATGCAGGCACACACGCAGATATGCAGACACACATGCAGATATGCAGACACACACGCAGACATGCAGACACACATGCAGATATGCAGACACACATGCAGATATGCAGACACACATGCAGATATGCAGACACACATGCAGATATGCAGGCACACATGCAGATATGCAGACACACATGCAGATATGCAGACACACATGCAGATATGCAGACACACATGCACCTTCAACCACAGATGCTGCAGACGTGCACACGCAAGTACCTTTCTTCCTCTGTGAGGGTCTTTGAGTTGAGAAGTCGCCGCAACAAGGCATCCTGCAACCACACACTCACATTCAGGTTTCGAAGTACACAACGGTCAATCGCCACGACTCGTTGGCAGTATGTGGCAATAGCAGATGGCAAGTGTGGGTGCGTGCGTGCGTGTGTGTGTGTGTGCGCGCGCGTGAGCGCGTGTGTGTGTGCGTGTGTGTGTGTGTGTGTCTATGTGTGTGTGTGTGCGCGCGCGTGAGCGCGTGTGTGTGTGCGTGTGTGTGTGTGTGTGTGTGTGTGTGTGTGTGTATGTGTGTGTGTGTCTATGTGTGTGTCTGTGTGTGTGTCAGCGAACATGTACGTCTGTGTGCCTGAGCCTCTCAACTCTCACCTGCACCTAACCTCGGACAATCACCCTGACTCGCTGGCAGTTTGTGGCAATAGCAGATGGCAAGCGTGGGTGTGGGAGTGCATGTTTGTATGTGTGTGGGAGTGTGTGTGAACCCGCACGTCTGTGTGTGTGAGGGCACTCTCACCTGGGCCTCACAGCAGACAACAGCTGTGACTCGTTGGCAGTACGTGGCAATAGCGGATGGCGGGTTCAGGAAGTGACGCCTCGCATACAGCTGAGAAGCAAAGGAGGGGAGGGAGAGTGAGAAAACGGGGGGGAGGGGGGAGGGGAGGGAGAGGAGAGCAAGGAAACACCAGGAGTTTAAATTGTCCGAGAGTAAGAGGGGAAGGAGAGCGAGGAAACAGCATGGCTTCCAAAAGTCGCAACTCGTGGATTCCATCCCCGATATGCTCCAGGAAGGCTCCATTGTAAGCCCCTCGCAATGTATAAACACATTCCCCAACGTCTAAACAAAACGTTTACTCTCGAAAAGCCACCTCAAACCCGACGTCTTACCTCATAGATTCCATCCCCGATATACGCCAGCATGGCTGCATTGTGCGTCGCTCGAGGCCTGGGCACGTCTGGCGGCGGAGGGAGCCAAACCCTAGGATCAGAAACATCCAACGGCTGAGACGCGGATTCAGAATTATCCAACGGCTGCGACGCAGCGCTCGAGATCAGCCGCTGGTTCACGTCTGACGCTGTCGAGATTCTGCGTCCGTTATTAGGAGACTCGACACTGGTCACGTAGTCGGATCCTGAATCAGCAGTCGCCTGCTTCTCAATCGTCTGCTTCTCAGACGCCGCCTGCTTTCTCTTTCTTCTACGACCTTCGGCAACCGCATTATTCCCCACTGCTGCAGCAGACCCCGATTGTACAGACCCCGATTGGACAGATTCTGATTGGACAGACCCTGATTGGACAGACCCTGATTGGACAGACCCTGATTGGACAGATTCTGATCGGGCTTCAGTTCCTGCCGAGCCTACTACCACACGACTATCCGCGGCTCCTGGTCTGTCTGCATTTCCTTCCGCCAGACCAGAAGTGGCATTTTCAGCAGCATTCCTCGTGGAACCTCCTACTGGAATACCTTCTGCTGCTGCTGCTGCTGCTTCCCTGGGCTGCTGCTTCCCTTGCGAAGAATTAACTTCAGAGGAATTTGAGAAAATCCTTCCAGGAAATGGTTCCGTGACTATAGCGGATCCCTCTTTAGCGGATTGTGAATCGTGCGTTTTCGAAGGCGGAGGGCCCCACGGCCATGATTGAGCCCGGGGAACCTGGACGGTCGAGATGAAACCTCGTGATCTGGCCTCAAACTCTGCGTGAATCCACGGCAAAGGAGCGAGGTTAGGTGTAGAGCTAAAGCCGGCTTTGGGTGCGATGCGTTTACACGTGGAGGGAACGATAGCACGTGAGGGCAGGTTCAACGCGTGGAGCATCACGTCTATGTCAATGAAATGAGGAGGATCTTAGCGCAGAGGGCGGTCACCTGCTTGCTTGCAGAGTTGAGACTGTAGTCCAAGAAGTGTGAAAAGCTTGCATAGTTGTGATTCTACTGTCACCTGAGTTGTGATCAGTTTTAACCACTGGGCTGATTCAGGAGATGTTTTTTGAACGGTTTAGATGCAAGCTACATTTGCATGAGAAAGGCGCACCGAAAGGTGGACACCTTGTGTCAGATTGAGATTGCCGTCAGCCTGTCACGGTGTGTGTGACACCCCTGACCGCATGTTCCGAAATCGACTTGGCTTCAGCAACGAGTTGTGGTAAACCCTGCCTCCGAGGTTCAAATTCTTCCTGTTCGTTTCCTGCTTCGGAAGACACAGTTAGGTCTCAGGCGATGATGGGTGGTTGCCACATTTGGGCCCAGCCAAACGGCTCTCTGGCTTTCCCGCCAGCTTCCCGAACCAGCGATTTTGACGGCACCGCGAATTCCAGGTACGGAATTCACACGAGCCATACCACAGGCCGTGGTTAGGATGGCATGGCATGGCATACCAAGCCTCCATCTCCACCATACCGCCCACTCAATCCGCTTTCCTGCAGATTGTCAAATGATTTCCGTCATGTACAGTTGACACTCTTCCGTCAGTATTGACATCCTCCCGTCAGTATTTGACATCCTTCCATCACTTTCCACGGCCATAAATTCGGTGAGGGCAAACGGCTAACGGCCAGGAGTCAGAATCGCCGGTCAGTTTCGGCATGTTTCATCACCTGAGAGAGAGATGCAGCCATTAGCCATGGCATGATACAGTACACTCTGCTCCACTCATCTCTCCCTCCCCCCCTCCCTCCCTCACTCCGCTAATCTCCCTCCCTTTCCCCGTGAAACAGACCTACCACATTCACCATCAACCATCCATCGCTTGTTCGTGAAGCAAGACATCAGGCAGAGCCAACATCCTTCAAATACAGCCGTCGCATTGAAGGCGGAGACTGAAAGCATTTCCAGTTCTTTGATTGACGGGGAGAGCACCAGGGTATTTGCAGGAAGCTGTCAGCTAGCATCGTTCGCCTTTCATTCTTGGTGATACGGTCTAACAGTCGATTTAACTCTTGCTTGAGCAGGCTGGGCTTGCCACTTTGAGAATAGTCTAGAAGAGTTGCTGATATTCGTTCTCGAGATTCTTCGCCGATAATCATGTCTGCCCTTGTTTGCGGAAAGCGATCTGTTTTCGAGGAGAGCGTTTACGATCCGTCCTCTCCACTGACAAAAAGAACCAGACGCGGACGACATGCATCCCCACTCAAGAGTCCATGGTCCGCAAATCCTTTCCAGCAGCCGCCAAGCCAGCAGCAGCAGCATCAGGGATTAGGAGGAGCTTTTGTCTCAGATCCGCGAATTGGAAATTCCAGCGGAGACGCTGAGACATTGCAGGATAGATCGAACCTGGAGGTTAGTCCAGCGCAGGCTGCATCGATTAATCTAAGCAATCATGGGTGCACATCTGCGACTGTTTGCATGTCGACGGAAGCAGATGCACAGAAACCAGCCGCAGATGAAGCACAGAGAGCGGGATCGGAAGGTCTGACTGCGAAATGGGCCGACGTAGCAGTGCGGGAGATGATGACAGCTGCAAGCGTGGATGACGCTCGACAGAAGGCCTTACTTGTGCTGCAAGCTTTCGAGAAGGAGTCTATGGATGCTAAGCAGCAGGATCAATCTGCAGCGATTCACGCGGAACAGGTACACGTAGAGCGCGTTAACTTATACCTTCATTTTGTACAAACTGGGTTTCTTTTCTGAATGTTTGTTCCGTCTTGAGCGGAGTGTGCTTAAAGATGTCGTCTCTAATGCTTTTTTGTATCCCGATTGCGTCCTCGATCTTAATTTCCATGCGCAGGAACGTCGATCTGCGTCTGAACTTCAAGTGCTACAGCAGCAGGTGGGCGTGTTGTGCAAGGAGAACCAGATTTTGAAGCGAGCAGTAGCGATTCAGCATGAGAAGCAGAAGGAGCACCAGGCTCAGAACGAGGAGAATGCGAGTTTGAGACAAGCTCTGGCGCAGTATCAAGAGCAAGTGCATAAGCTGGAGGTAAGCTTACTTACCAGCCATTCTCGTTTATGTTAATTGTTTGTCAGGCCGTCCAGGAACTCCGATTTGCCTGGGGGGGTTTCAGAAGGCATTTCAAGAGTCCCCTTGCAGAGCCCACCCTTCGCGTCTGTTTATTTTAGCAGCGAACTGTCAAACTGTCTGACACTGATTTTGTTCAACCCCGGTCTTTATTGCTGCGCAGGTTGCCAACTATGCTCTCAACCTGCACCTTCGCCAAGCTAACGATGCTGTGAATCATGCAGCTTTGTCTGGCCGCTTCCATCCGGATGTCTTCTAGGTCTTTTAGCACTCTCGGGCGTGCTCATGTGCTTGCTTTAGTTCATCTATGTCGAGTAGGCCCATGGCAGTGTCTCGTCTCAGTTGGAACAAGCTTCAACGCTGTTCGGAGATTGGTTCTGGTCACCAAGGATAGTGGCCTTCAAAGCTGATGTCAAGTCGTTCAACTGTAGCCATAATTAACTTTGGCAAGAAACTTCTCCATAGAGAAGGGAAGACGAATTATCGTGGTAATCCGGAGGTGCTTTTATGTGCTTTTTAATGATTTGTTTCGATGTTTTCTCTCACGAAAACCAACTTGGCTTTGTGGTTGTAACGAGTACGGAAGTGGAACCTCCAACTCAATTCTAGAAAGGCGGCCTGACAGCAATTGTAACTTGTCAGTCACGCTGGGAGCGCATCAGGCGAGATTCTTGTTTCCGCTGTTGGAGGCTCTCCGCAGTGATTGATGCCATTCGCGACCTCGCAAAGCCGATAACAGGAAGAGTTTTAGCTCAGGTCGGTATATTTTGCCAGTCTCTAAGCCGTGCTGTACCAAAGAGCAAGGCACCGTAGTATTTTGTCGCACGAGACGAACAGAATTCGAGCAGCGACTTCGGAAATTCTACAGTCCCCTGTCCCGACAATATATTTTTTTCAGGGCGCCTCTAATCCCGTCGAAGAGTCAGCATAGTTAGTAGTTTTTTTCGGCGGAGTAAAAGGTAGCGACGAGTTTGTATGATATAGGAGCCTTAGAAGGATCTCTGCTTGTGATCGCTTTTGGTCTTAGCGTGTATCGGATTCTAAGGAGACAGGCGGACCGTGAAGGACCATAATAAACGTTAAAGCCGTGGTGAGATCAGCCGCTGGTAACCAGGAATGTAACCTCGACAAGAAATAAGACGCTAAATCGGAGACGGTGGTCAGAACGGGCTGGCTACGGGTAACGGGAGTCGAGACTGTTTGTATTGAGTCGACTCATAAGTTCATAACGCACCCAGAAGGCGGTCAGAAGGCTACGGGTGGCGGGAGCCGAGACTGTTTTTAAACGTCCAAAGGAAATAGGAGTTGCCGCCGGCCAAGACAGGGCAGGGAATTGAGAAGACCTGAGAGTTCCAGGCGATGGCGACAGCTGAACAGTAACAGGAGGTGGCGAAAGATACAGTGTTACAGGCGATGGCGTAGGCTAAACAGTAACAGGGGCTGGCGAACGCTATAGAGTAACAGGCGATGGCGACGGTAAAACCGGAGCCTGAGGAGGAGGAGGGGTTGCGGATGGAGGCATGGTGGGGAGAGGAAGGGGAGGGGGAGTCGAGTGAGGAAGTGGTGATTGAGGAGGAATATGTGAACGAGGAAGAGGGGGAGGTGGAGGAGGAGGAAGAGGAGGAGGAAGAGGAGGAGGTGGAGGAGGGAGAGGAGGAGGAGGAGGAGGGAGAAGAAGAGGAGGACGAGGACGATGAGGAAGAGGTGGAGGAGGAAGAGGAGGCGGGGGAGGAGGATGAGGAGGTTGAGGAGGAGGGGGAAGAGGAGGTGGAGGAGGGGATGGAGGAGAGGAAGAGGGAGGACGTTGGGGGAATTCCTGTAAAGTCAAAAAGGGTGCCAGTTGAACTCAATGCGGGTTTTCATCATGAGGAGGCGAGGGGAAGTCTTGGGAAGGAGGCCGGAGACTCTGGGGGGGAGGCTGGGGGCACTGGGGGAAAGGCTGGGGTCACTGGGGGCACTGGGGGGAAGGCTGGGGGCACTGGGGGAAAGGCTGGGGGCGCTGGGGGCACTGGGGGGAAGGCTGGGGGCGCTGGGGGAGGGACGGATGAAGATGCTGGGGGCGTTAAAGGAGGGGAGGCTATGGCAGCTGCTACTGCTACTAGGCGGGGATTGACGAGTGCCCATACAGGGCTAGGAGTGCTGGGGATTTTAGGCAGTGCTGCCAGGGAGGGTGTGGCGATGGCATGCACGGGGCTGGGAGCGCTGGGGATTGCAGGCATGGCGCAGAGCGCAAGGGCCGGCGCTAGGGGCACTGCTGCTAGGGGCCCGGTATCCGCTTCAGGCGTGGAAGGCAGTGCCAGGGCCGGCGCTAGAACTGGTGCTACGCGCGTCGCTTCTTCGGAGATGCCTCTGAAGCCGTCTGCAGTCGAGGAGGAGAACAAACGGGCTGGTGCTTTGGGTGTAGGAGCGCCAACGGATTCATATTCAGGTGGTGAGGTGATTGTGAAGCAGCAGGGAGTGGAGGAAGAGAGGAAGGACTCTGTTGGGTTGAGTGAAAACTCCTTGGCATGCGTGGGGGGCGACAGAGCGGCTGGTGCTAGGGGGTTAGCGCCAACGGATGCAGGTAGTGGGGTGATTGTGAAGCAGGAGGGAGTGGAGGAAGAGGGGAGGGGTTGTTTTGGGTTGAGTGGGAATTCACCAGGGAGGGCGGGAGCAGGAGGAGGACGCAGCGGACTAAGGGGGGTCCGTGTGAAGGGGGAGGCAGTGGAGGTAGGGGAGGAGGGAGCAAGGAGTGCTGCTGCTGCGCGTGATGGTGAAGGGAGGGGGGTCATGGATCGGGCGATAGGGGTTTTGGAGCAGAGTCAAAGGCCACGGGCGGTGTGGGTGAAGGAGGAGGCAGTGGAGGGAGGGGAGGAGGGAGTGGGGAGTGCTGCAGCTCCTCCTGTGGTAACTGCATCGGGTGGTGGTGGTGGTGCTGCTGCTGTAACCAGACCAGGAGCTTCTGCTGCTGATGTGGTAACTGCAACGAGTGCTACTGCTGCTCGTGTGGTTACCACATCAGGTGCTGCTGCTGCTGCTGCTGCTGCGTCCGGTTCTGGGCGTGGTGCAACCGAGTCAAATGCTGCTCAAACGCGCATTGGAAGCTGTAGAGGGAATGCCAGTAACGTGGATGCAATTGCTACAGGTGCGAACGTCACTACAGCTCTGGGTGTGCTTGGGGTTGTGAGAGCGGTGGAGAGCGGAGGAGCAACGCATTTGCCTGCTGCGCCGACTGACGGGAGGCACATGTGTGGCGTCTCACGGGGAGGCGATTCCGAGGGGGGGCAAACGTGTGGTGTCTCACGGGGAGGCAATTCCGAGGGGAGGCCAACGTGTGGCTCCACTCGAGGAGGGAAAGTGGTGAGAGGAGGGGGTGGTGGTGGGCGGGTTAAGGAAGAACCCTCGGAGAACCTTGGAAGAAAGGAAGGGGCAATGCGAGGAGGGTGTACACAAGGGGGGGCTACACGAGGGGCCATACATTTGTCTGCAGAGGCGACTGAGGGGAGGCGAACGCGTGGTGCCATGCGAGGAGGGGGTATGGCGAGAGGATGGGGTGACAGTGGGAGGGTTAAGGAGGAGCCCTTGGAGGTGGATGGCGGTGGGGGAGCAGTGAGGGAATCAGCGAGGGGGGAAAAGAGGGAAGAAGTGAGGGAAAGGGAGTTGATTGTGCTGGATGATGATGATGATGATGATACAGAGGAGGGCAGCGAGGAGGGGTGCAAGGAGGATAAGGGGGTGGGGAGGGAGATTGAGGAAGGGGAGGCGATGGGAGAGGAGGAGGAGGAAGAGGGAGAAGTGGGGGAAGAGGGGGAAGAGGGGGGAGAGGGGGAAGAGGAGGAGGCGGGAGGAGTGGAGGAAGAAGGGGAAGGAGAGGTGAGTGCCAGCGAGGGAGATATGGAGGTAGGGATCAATGAACAGGAGGCAGGGGAAGAGGGAGAGGAGGCGGAGGAGGAAGAGGAAAGAGATGAGGAGGGGGAAGAGGAAGGAGAAGTACAAGTGGAGGGAGAGGAGGGAGAGGAGGGAGAGAAGGGAGAGGTGGGAGAGGTGGGAGAGGAGGGAGAGAAGGGAGAGGAAGGAGAGGAGGGAGAGGAGGGAGAGAAGGGAGAGGTGGGAGAGGTGGGAGAGGTGGGAGAGGAGGGAGAGGTGGGAGAGGAGGGAGAGGAGGGAAAGGGAGAGGAGGGAGAGGAGGGAAAGGGAGAGGAGGGAGAGGAGGGGGCTGTAGAGAAGGGGGCAGTACAGGAGGAGTCAACAAGGCAGGGGAAAGAAAGATGGGAGGCAGTAGCAGCCGAAATCGGAGCACCTGAAATCGGAGCACCTGAAATTGGGGCACCTGAAATTGGGGCACCTGAAATTGGGGAACCTGAAATTGGAGCACCTGTGTCAGTAAGAGGGGAGTTGACCGATTGGGCAGAAACGCAGGATGCCGTGAGGGAGGGGGCAGCAATGGAGGGGGTAGTAACGGAGGGGGCAGTAGCACCCGAGATAGTAGCACCTGTGACTGTAAGGGAGGAGATGACAGTAATGCAGGACGCTGTAATGGAGCGGACAGCAAGGGAGGGGGCAGTAACAGAGGGGGCAGTAACGGAGGGGGAAGTAGCACCCGAGGTTGTAGCACCTGAGGCAGTAAGAGCGGAGACAGAAGCAGTGGAGGTAGGAGCAGGAGAGGCAGGAGCAGCGGAATCAAAAGCAGCAGAGTCAAACGCTGGAGAGACAGGAGCAGTGGAGACAGGAGAAGCAGGGGCAGGGGCAGCGAAGACAGAAGCAGGAGAGGCAGAAGCAGGAGAGGCAGAAGCAGGAGAGGCAGAAGCAGGAGAGGCAGAAGCAGGAGAGACAGAAGCAGGAGAGGCAGAAGCAGGAGAGACAGAAGCAGGAGAGGCAGAAGCAGGAGAGACAGAAGCAGGAGAGGAAGAAGCAGGAGAGACAGAAGCAGGAGAGGTAGAAGCAGGAGGGGCAAGAGCAGGAGAGGTAGGAGCAGGAGAGGCAGGAGCAGCGGGGGGAAAAGCAGCGGAGACAAGAGCAGAAGGGACAAGAGCAGCAGAGACAGTAGTGGAGGAAAGAGGCACACCAACGCAGGCAAGCAGGGCACCGCCTAAGCTGGCCAAGGAGCTCAACTCTCTACTGGATGTTGCCTGCAAGACAGCGGAGCAGGCAGTTGCGGCTTGGGAAGAGGGGAGAGAAATTCACGAAGCAAAGGGAGCAGCACAAGGGGGCGAGCGAGCGGCGCAAGGGCGTGGCACACCGACGCAGACAAGCAGGGCACTGCCTAAGCTTGCCAAGGAGCTCAACTCTCTACTGGACGATGCCTGCAAGACAGCCGAGCAGGCAGTTGCGGTGTCCTCTCGGCATGCTCAAAGTGCTTTAATGGGCTCCTGGCAGGCAATGGGAGGGAGGGAGGAGGGGGGAGATGGGTTGGAGGAGGAGAGGGGAGAGGAGGGAAAGGGGGAGGAGATGAAAGGGGAGGAGGTGAAAGGGGGGGAGGAGGAGGGGGAGGAAGACGTGGAGTGTGAGGATTACTGCTTTGTGTGCTATGATGGTGGTGACATGGTCACGTGCGAGAAGAGGTGAGATGAGGGATGAGAAAAGTGGTGAGATCAAATCAAACCTTGGAAATGAATGATTTGAAGTAATTTGGTAATTTGTTGTTTAACAGAGGCTATCCATCCATACATACCCTCACGAGGTGCCAAACTGTACTCTTCTCCCCAACTCCTTTCTCTGTTTCCCATCCGGGCTTTCAGGGGCTGCCCCAAGGCAAGGCGTACCAACACGAGGTACTGCTTTTGAGTCGACTCAAAACCAAACTGTACTGCTCTCCCCGCTTCCATTCTTTTTCCTGTCCGGTCTTTCAGGGGCTGCCCCAAGGCGTACCATCGGGAGTGCACTGGGCTGCCTGAAAGAGTCTTCGAGTCATCTGCCCCGTGGACTTGCAGTGAGTGATGCCGGGGATGTGATAAGGTAAGTGAAAAGTTAAGTGATAAGGTAAGTGATACAGTGTGTGCGAGACAGTGCGACCTGCAGTGAGTGAATGATGCTGGGGATGCATATTTCAAACAGTGCATGCAGGGGCATGAGCAGCATGAGCGGAGCATCAGGGGCATGAGCGGGATAGAGGAGAAGTTGAGCATCTTCTATGTGCATCTCCTGTCAGTCTACCACTCGTGCTCCCATGCCTGCCGTCGCTCCTCTCTCTTCCTCTGCCTGCTCGCTCTGCCCAACCTTTCTGTGTCTTTCCCCCGCGCTTCACCCCTCCCTCCCTGTCCCACACCCTCAGTTTGGCACTCGTGCTCTTGAGGCTGCCGTTTCTTGCTCCTCTCTCCTCCTCTGCCTGCTCGCCCTGCCCGACCTTTCTGTGTCTTTCCTTCGTTCTTTACCCCTCCCTCCCAATCCCCCCCTTTCAGTTTGACATGTGTTCTGTTTTTTAGAAATCTCAGAAACAGAACTCTTCCTCCGCCTCCTCTGCCCCACCTCCCTCTGCTGGGGCTGCCTGCACTCTCTCCGTCCCCACCTTTGGATGGACCCCCGCTCCTCGGCCCCTTCCCATTCGGGCTCCCATGGATCTTTTCTCAAATGTTCCTCTCTCCCCCTCCCTCTCTCCCCCACCCTCTCTCCCCCTCCCTCTCTCCCCCTCCCTCTCTCCGCCTCCCTCTCTCCCCCTCCCTCTCTCCCCCTCCCTCTCTCCCCCTCCCACTCTTCCCCTCCCTCTCTCCCCCTCCCTCTCTCCCCCTCCCTCTCTCCCCCTCCCTCTCTCCCCCTCCCTCTCTCCCCCACCCTCTCTCCCCCTCCCTCTCTCCCCTCCCTCTCTCCCCCTCCCTCTCTCCCCCACCCTCTCTCCCCCTCCCTCTCTCCCCCTCTCCCTCTACCCCTCCGTGTCCACACCCTCAGTTTGGCACGCATGCTCCTGTGCCTGCCGTCGCGCCTCCCTCGTCCTCTGTCTCCTCTGCCCCACCTCCTTCTGCTGGTGCTGCCTGCGCGCCCTCCGCCCCCACCCCTGGATGTACCCCGCCTCCTCTGCCCCTTCCCATTCCGGCTCCCCTGGGTCTTTTTAAAATGTCCCCCTCTCCCCCTCCCTCTTCCCCCCTCCCTCCTCCTCCCCTTTCAGTTTGGCATTCTTGCTCCCGTGCCTATCGGCGCGCATCCCTCTTCCTTCGTCTCCCCTGCCCCACCTCCCTCTGCTGGCGCTGCTTTTGCTCCTTCCTCCCCTACATCTGGCTCGATCCGACCTCTTTTGCCAGAGTGGAAAGAATCTGGACCTGGCCCCCATGGGACTGGTTTTCTTGCGCCCATGGGTCTTCTAATTTGTCCCTCACTCTCTCCCCTCCTCTCTCCCCTCCTCTCTCCCCGCCTCTCTCCCCTCCTCTCTCTTTGCCACCCTCCCTGTTCCACATCCTCAGTTTGGCATTCTTGTTCCCGTGCCTGCCGGCGCTCTTCCGTCTTCCTCTGCCTCCTCTGCCCCACCTCCCTCTGCTGGCGCTGCCTTCGCTCCCTCCGCCCCTACATCTGGCTGGACCCCGCCTCATCTGCCCGAGTGGAAAAAATCTGGACCTCGCATTTTTTCCGGGCAGCTCAGTTTGCTGCCCGACTCGCTTCAGGCAGGGTTTTGGATGCGGAAAAAGGGAAGGGGAGGAGGAGGAGTGGGGAGGGGAGTGGACGTGAAGGGGTGGGGAGACAGGGGGAGGATAAGGAGGAGAGGGAGAGCAAAGAGGCGAGGGAGGGTGTGGAGGAGAAGGGGAAGGAAGAGGAGGGGGAGAATAAGGAGAAGGCAGGGAGGGAGGAAGGAAGGGATAACGAGGGGGAAAAGGAGGAGAGAGGGAGTGACGAGGAAGGAGACTGTGCAAAGGAGAGGGAACGTGAGAAGGAGAATGGGAGTCTGGAGGGTGGCCCGGGTGGGAGTATTTGGTGGGGCAGGGAAGGCGAGGAGAAGGTAGAAGGGGGTATGGGATCGAGGTTGGAGCAGCTTCAGGAGGGAGGGAAAAAGGTCTTGGGACTATGCGGCGCTTGCTATGTCAAGATGGCCATGATTCAACACGGCTTCGAGACAACCCCGACGGGAGTGAGTGCCGCTTCGTTGTGGTGTACGTTTGTCACGGGTACCAAGCATGCATCACAAGCATGCATCACAAGCATTCATCACAAGCATGCATCAGAAGCATGCATCAGAAGCATGCATCAGAAGCATGCATCACAAGCATGCATCAGAAGCATGCATCAGAAGCATGCATCACAAGCATGCATCAGAAGCATGCATCACAAGCATGCATGACAAGCATGCATTACAGGTATGCATCAAAAGCATGCATCACATGCATTCTGCGTGCAGGTTTTTTATGAACGCCTTCCTTTTCCTCGGCTTGTTTGTCCGGCGTGTAGAGAGTGTCATCGGATATTAATGATGATATCAACTCCCCCGGCGCGGGGGTTGCTTCGAGGACTATCACTCGGTGAGGCGCGGTTGGCGTTGGGTGAGGGTCAGTCATTCGTCTCTCCCCCCATTGTGTTTCCCCTGCAGGCTATTCTCAACATGGATGATGTTGACTCTCCTGCTTGGTACTTCAAGGACTATCACTCGGTGATGCGCGATCACGGTAGACTGGTGATCGATGTGGGGAAGGCTCCAGATGACTGGGGGTCTCTGAAGGATTTGTGGTGGTGGGGGAATGAGCTCGGGATGATGGATGTGGGGGATGATGAGGGCGAGGGAGAAGGGGGAGGAGAGGACGAGGAAGGAGAGGGGGAGGTGGGGGAAGAAGAGGAGGAAGAAGAGGAGGAAGAAAGGGAGGAAGAAGGGGAGGAAGAGGTAGAAGAGGAGGATTATGAGGACGAGGGAGAAGGAGGAGAAGGGGAGGAGGAGGAGGAGGAAGATGTGGAAGGTGAGAGCCAAGTGGAGTTCAGGGAAGTGAGTGAGAGTGCGAGTGAGGGGGAAGATATTCCGATCTCTAGAAAGTATAACGTGGTATCAGGGCTACATCGGACTGGCCTGGAAGCTCAAAAGACGCCTTGTTGCAACTTCGTGCGGCACTCTTTGTGCGATGAGACAGGGAAGTCTGCGAGCCAGCTGGGTTTTGAGTCAACTCAAGGTGAGAGAGGGAAGCTTGCGAGCCCTTCTGGCGATGGTGAAGTGGGGAGGCTCTTGGACATTGATAGAGGAGGCAGGCGGGGAGGAGCAGAGAGAGGAGGAGGAGGAGGTAGGGGAGGAGGTAGGGGAAGAGGGAGGGGAGGAGGGAGGAGAAGAGGGATGGGAGGAGGGAGAAGAGGAGGGAGGGGAGGAAGGAGGGGAGGAGGAAGGGGAGGAGGGAGGGGAGGAGGGAGGGGAGGACGGCGGGGAGGGCGACAAGGTCATTGGGTTAATGGTGATGTTGACTGGTTTCCTATTGGAAAGGAAGGAGAGCATTGTGCTTATAAAGGAAGAGGAGGTGATTCTTTCAGAAAGGAAGGAGGTGCTTCACTAGGAAGAGAGAAAGGGAGTAAACAGGGGAGAGGAGCGGCAAGCAGCGGGAGAGGGTGGGGGAGGGGAGTGGGGAGAGGGGGGTGGAGAGGAGGGGGAAGAGGGAGGGGGGGCAGAGGAGGGAGAGAAGGGGGGTATGGAGGGGGGAGGGCATGGGGAGGGGGCAGGGGAGGTGGGGGTAGGAGAGGGAGGAGAGGAGGGGAAAGAGGGGGAGGAAGAGGAGGAGGGGGAGGTGGTCGTGGGTGGGGAGAGGGGGAGGAGGAAGAGGATGGGGATGAAATATATGAGGAAGAGGAGGAGGAAGAAGAGGAGGAGGAGGTAGGGGAGGGAGAGGGGGCGGAGAAGGAGGTTGGGTGTGGAGAACAAAGAAGTGATGGTGCTACGGATGGTGATGGGCATGGGCATGGGCATGGGCATGGGCATGGGCATGGGCATGGGCATGGGCATGTGCATGGGCATGGGCATGGGCATGGGCATGGGCATGTGCATGGGCATGGGCATGGGCATGGGCATGGGCATGGGCATGTGCATGGGCATGTGCATGTGCATGCTCATGGTGCTGATGATGGTGATGAGGAAAACGACGATGGGGCAGCAGTGGAGGGGGTCCCATACGCGGCCATCAACGACCGCAACCTCTCCCAGATCTACCTCAGGCGAAGGCACCTGGAAGTTGCAGAGAGGCTGGGGGTCGAGAGGGCGGCGGAGCAGGGGGGCAGCTTGGAGAAGAGTGCAGAGGCTCTGAGGGGGATGCTGGTGGGGGGGCTTGCGAGGCTGCGGTGTCCGGACGTGTTTGGACTGGTCAACGTGTCTGGATATAAGCTGGTGCTTGTTACAAGTAAGTTGCCTGGTGGTTGTTACTGTTGAGGCAACTCAAAGCACAGGGAGTCTAGTTTTGAGGCGCCTCAAAACTGTTACTGTTGGAGGGCCACAGGGATCGTCCCGCAGTTAAGTGTGGGAGGGCTACAGGTCCGTCTTAGGGGGTAATGGGTGCGTCATCCACCATACAAACATGCCCTTTTAAACCGGTCGGTAGTGGGCTGGGCCAATAGTGGTATCAGAGCTAGAGGTCTCGGGTTTGAATCCCAGTGTGCACCAAGTGAGTGGCAGGTGCCCTAACGAACCTCAGGGAGGGGGAGACGACCCCAGGGAGGGGGAGACGACTCCAGTGAGGGGGAGATTGTTGGAGGGGCACAGGGATCGTTCCTCTATTGAGTGTGGGAGGGCTACAGGTCCGTCTTGGGGGGATAATAGGTGCGCTATCCGCCACACAAACATGTTTTTTTAACCCAGTCGGTAGTTGGCTTGTGCTCGTGGCTTGCTCAGCGGCAGGTTCCGAACATGTTTGGGGGCTGCTCAACGTATCAGAATATAAGCTCGTGCTCCGAGCTCGTTTTGAGGCGCCTCAAAACTAGACTGAGCACCCTGACCTTGTCGCGTCAGGCATGTCACATTCACTTCACTGTTCCCCAGCTCAGAATCGGCTTTCCAGGAACTTTCCCCCGTGTGTTTTCTTGGTTCTTTCACTTTACCTTGCATGTGCACATGCCCTAAACACCTGTCCAATCCGTCCCTTCGAATTGCTTGCACAGACATTGAGTATTTCACCTCAGCGGCCCACGCCAGCTCTGACTTCGGTCCTCCGGGTTTCAACATAGCCCAGCAGCAGCACATGCTTGTGGTGACAGTCTTGGATGGGCGAAAAAACCGCCTGGAGAGGTGCCGTGTGGCCGAGTTCTCAGACGGGGTGTTCAGAGGTCCAGAGGTGGAGGAGGTGCGGGAGCTGGTGAGGCGCGGGTCTCTTCCCCCCTTCTATATGGTGAGTGTGTTGCTACTGTTCATGCAAGAGCCTCTCTTTACTGGGGTTTTCAGAGGTCCAGAGGTCCAGAGGTGGAGGAGGTGCGGGAGCTGGTCAGAAGAGGGTCGCTGCCTGCCTTCTATATGGCGAGTGTTTCAGATTGGGTCAGCCAGTGAGCAGCAGCAGCAAATGCTGCTGGTGACTGTCTTGGAAAGGTGCAAGAACCGCCTGGAGAGGTGCTGCATGGCCGAGCTGAGTTTCCGGATGGGTGTTCAGAGATCCAGAGGTGAAGGAGGTGTGGGAGCTGGTCAGAAGAGGATCATTGCCTCCGTTTTTCATGGTGACCTTCCTTCTGCTCAGGAGAAAAATCTGTGATTTTTTCCCACAGCAGCAACACCAGCAGCAGCAGCAGCAGCAGCACAAGCTGGGGGAGCAGGTTTGCGGCTGAGGCACATCTTCTTTGAGACACACAGGCGGTGCATGCAGCATGTGCCAAGATGCCTATGCAACCAGGCTGAGGCCATTTGTCCCGTGATGTCACAGTACTGCACCCTTTGCCTCTCTGCAGGACCAGCTGGAGCAGCAGGTGCACCGGCTGAGACCCATCTTCACGTGCCTCCCTCCCTCCCTCCCTCCCTCCCTCCCTCCCTCCCTTCCTCCCTCCCTCCCTCCCTTCCTCCCTCCCTCCTCCCTCCCCCTCCCTCCCTCCCTCCCTTCCTCCCTCCCTCCCTCCCTCCTCCCTCCCTCCCTCCCTCCCCCTCCCTCCCTCCCTTCCTCCCTCCCCCCCTCCCTCCCTCCTTCCTCCCTCCCTCCCTTCCTCCCTCCCTCCCTCCCTTCCTCCCTCCCTCCCTCCTCCTCCCTCCCTCCCTCCCTCCCTCCCTCCCTCCCTTCCTCCCTCCCTCCCTCCCTCCCTCCCTCCCTCCCTCCCTCCCTCCCTCCCTCCCTTCCTCCCTCCCTCCCTCCCTCCCTCCTTCCTCCCTCCCTCCCTCCCTCCCTCCCTCCCTCCCTCCCTCCCTCCCTCCCTCCCTCCCTCCCTCCCTCCCTCCCTCCCTCCCTTCCTCCCTCCCTCCCTCCCTCCTTCCTCCCTTCCCTTCACCCCCCGCCCCCCTCCGCAGGACAAGCTGGAGGAGCATGTGCACCAGCTGAGGCACATCTTCTTATAGACGCATGGTGTGGGCACGACGTGCCAAGATGCCCTATGCTATCATGCCACTTCCCCCTTATCCGGTGGTGTCACCTTTTCCCTTTGCTCTCCGCAGGACAAGCTGGAGGAGCATGTGCACCAGCTGAGGCGAATCTTCTTCGAGACGGTGAGGATCCATCTCTGTGAGGGGTTTGGTGTGCCTAACATTCCAAGAGATTCTGCCACACAGGCACGGAGTTTATTTGTTGTTCTTCTTTGTTGTTATTGATTTCTTTTCTTCTTCTTTTTTTGCATATGTTGGCACTGTCTGTCGGTTTGTGTGTCTCTTCGTCCTTCTGCTCTCTCTACCCTTGCAGTAGTTGCAGTGCGTGAAGACGTGCACTTCTCTCTCTTCCTCAATTCGCCAGTTCTCTCTCTCCCTTCCCCTCTGTGTCCCTGCAGGAGGTTCAGCAGACCCTAGAGTTGAGCCATTCCAATGTGTGGCTCTCCTTATGCACTTGTTAGTGGGTATTCCACGTCTTCTCATAGTCTTCTCCCGCCCTTCCTCTCTGTGTCCTTGCAGGAGCACCAGCAGATCCTAGAGAGAGTGCAGCAGCGTTTTTCCTCTTGCACTCTTCACACAAACTCCCCTTCTTCTCACTTTGTTTCCCTCCTCCCTTCCCCGTCCCCGCCCTTCCCCGCCCTTCCCCGCCCTTCCCCTCCCTTCCCCTCGTTTCCTCTTTTTGGTCCTGCAGGAGCACCAGCAGACCCTTGAGCGAGTTGAGCAGCTGAAGAGAGCCAAGAAATATCCGCTCAACTGCATGCATTGCACTCTTTTCACGTTTCCCAATGCTGTCTCTTCTCCCGTTATCTCCATTTTCCTGCAGGAGTACCAGCAAACCCTTGAGCGAGTTCAGCAGCTGAAGAACGCCAAAAAATATCCCCTCATGCGCCCCTCGTGCAATTTCCTGGCACTCATCACACTCCTTTCATACTATCATCACGCGTTCACTCGCTCCCCTCTCGCTTTTGACATTTTTTCTCTGTCCTTCCGTCGCATTTTGCTCGCCTACCAGTCCGCTGGTTTATTTTTTCACTGAGATCTAGTCCCTTTGTCCTTCCATCTCTGTCTTGCTCTGCTTCTTCTTCGCTTCTTTGTGCTCGCTGCTGTTTCTCCTTAACCACTCCCGCACCTCCTCCCTCCTTTCCCTTCTTTTCTCCGTCGCTGTCCTTTCCCCCCTCCCCTTTCATTCCCCTTTGCCAATCCCCCCTCCCCCCTCCCCCCTTCTTATTCTCTCCATCCTTCCTCTCCCCTCCCCTGCCTACTCTTACTGCCCTCCTTCCCGTTTGTCCTCAACCATCGGTGTCCCAATCCGTCCTTTGTCCCTGTCACTTTGCCTGTTTGCCACTGTCTGTTATTTTCTCCCTTTCGCTTCTGCGCTGCCCGTCCCGCTTCCCCCTCACCACATATGTGGAGTCTCATCGCCTCCTCATGGACATCAGGCATCCGGACTACCGCCCCTCCTTCCTCAACCGCCCCGTGCTATTAGATGCCGATACTGATGGAACCTCCGCCCCCAGAAACCCACCTTCGCATCCTTCTCTTCCCATTCCTTCTCATCTTCCCCCCTCGCATTCCTCTCTCTCCCCTCCCGCCCACCCCCTACCTTCGCATCCTTCTCTTTCCACTCCCGCCCATCCCCCTCCCTCGCATTCCTCTCTCTCCCCTCCTGCCCACCCCCAACCTCCGCATCCTTCGCTTTTCACTCCCGCCCATCCCCCTCCCTCCCGTTCCTCCCTTTCCTCTCCTGGACCTTCCCCTCGCTCCCATCCCTCTTCCGCCCATCCTTCGTCCACCCGTGCCCCTATCTCCCACCCCCCTTCCGCCCACCCCCCTTCCTCCCAGCCCCCCCTTCGGCACACGCCCCCTACCCACATTCTCCTTTCCCCCATGTCCCACTAATCAGCAATCCCCTTCCCCAGATGCACCCTCACCAAATGCCTTCTCCCCGTGTGCACCCTCCTCACCCATACCCCCCACCTGGCCCTCCCCCTCCACAACCCCACCCCGCCGCCAACCACCCTCCACTCGCCACCCAACCTCCTCCCTTCCATTCATCCACCTACCATTCCCCACATGCCTCCTCGCCTCCTCATATTGCCATACCTCCATCTACATTCTCTCTTCCTCCTCCTCTTCCTCCTCCTCCTCCTCCTCCTCCTCCTCCTCCTCCCCCGCCAGGAGTCTTTGTCCCTACACCTAATGCCAGTAGAGCCCCGGCCTTTGACGTGCCTCACGAGCAGGCCTCGCCGCCCCCAGGAGTCCCAGCCTTTGAGGCGCCTCCCCCTTCTCTTGCCACACTTCGTGCCAACAGAGCCCCAGCATTTGAGGTGCCTCACCGGCAGACTACTCCCCCCCCAGGGGTCTCTGTCGTGGCGCCTCATTGGCCGAGGCACACCACCGATCCGTCTCCAAATTCCCGTCCTCCTGTCAACCTGCCTCCTCCTCCCCCGGGAATCCCACCCCCACATGCGGTTATTGTTTCTCCTGCTCCTGCTCCTGCTCCTGCTTCTGTTCCTGCTCCTGCCACTCGATCTGTTGATGCTGGTGCGGCTGCAGGTGATGGCACTACTGCTGCTCCTGCTGCTGCTGCTGCAGCAGCTGCGACTGCTGGTGGTGCTCGGGATGCTGATATGAGTGCAAGCAACAGCCAGCAGCAGCAGCAGCAGCAGCAGCAGCAGCAGCAGCAGTCGGGGCATGGAGAGACCTCAGACAGGGGAAGCACTCACGATAGGAAGCGGGAGAGGGAAGGGGGGGAGAGGGATGATGGGGTGAGTGGGAGAGACGGGAAGCGAAGGAGAGAAAGGGAGAGTTTGGGTGAGGAAGAAAGAGTGAGGTATGAGGAGAGGGGGAGGTATGAGGAGACAGGGAGGGAGAGAGTTGGGGAGAGGGGAAGAGATATGGCTTGGAGGCGAGATGACGACAGGGAGAGGGAGAGGGTTGAAGAATTTATACGAGAAAGGGAGAGGGAGAGGGAGATAGAGAGAGTGAGGGTTGAAGAGTACATACGAGAGAGGGAGAGGGACAGGCAGAGATCAAGGAAGAGGCAGAGGGATAGAGAACGGTGGAGGGAAAGGGAGAGGGGCATAGAACGGTCGAGGGAAAGGGAGAGGGGTAGAGAAAGAGAAGCCTATATGGAGAGGGACAGAGGAAGTGGCAGGGATGTGGGGAGGGGAAGGGAGCGAAGCAGTGAGAGGGAAACAGAGAGTCGTCGAGATAGGAGCAAGGAGAGGAGGGAAGGTGGGAGTAAAGAGGGGAGGGAAGGTGGAAGCAAGGAGAGGAGGGATGTTGGGAGCAGGGATAAGGACAAGCAAGGGGTTGAGAATGCTCAGAAGCAGATGGTTCCCGATGCCCCTTCTGCAGCTGCTACCGCTCCAGTTGTTACCCCCCCAGTTGCTCCCGCCCCAGTTGCTACTGCTGCAGCCGCTCTTACCCCAGATGCTGTGTCTCTTGTAGCGCCTCAAAGACTGGGAGTGGAGAATGGTTCAAAGGAAGTTGTTGCCGGTGCCCCACGTGCAGCTTCTTCCTCTGCAGTTTCTCCCACTTCAACTGCCCCTGCTGCGACCCCTGCTCCTCTTGCCTCGTCTTCCCTGGTCGCTTCTGCTACCCATGCCACCCTCACTCTGTCTGCTCCCGCTGCTCTCGTTCCCACTGCCCCTGATGCTCTCTCTCCCACTGCTCCAGCTTCCCCTGCTACCCCTACCACTCTTGCTCTGTCTGCTCCCGCTGCTCTCGTCCCCACTGCCCCTGATGCTCTATCTCCCGCTGCCCCTGCCACCATCACCCCTATCGAGGTTCCGGTCGCTGCTCCCCCTGCTGCCCCTACCGCTTCTGCTCTCCCTGCTCCTCCCGCTCCTCTCATTCCCGCTGCTCCTGCGACCATCACCCCTATCGATGTGCCAGTCACCGTCCTGTGCCAACCGTGGTGGTGCTACAGGGATCCCAGGGGTCGCATCCAGGGTCCATACTCCCTTGCTGATCTGTACCAGTGGGAAGCGCACAGGGGGTTTAGGGATACCCTGGTGTGGAATGCGAGGGACGCTGCTGCTGCTGCTGCTGCTGCTGCTGCTGGTGCTGGTGCTGGTGGTGCTGCTGCTGCGGTTGTTGCTGACCGAATGGGGTCTCTTTTGGACGAGTGGAGGCTTGTGAAACTAGCAGCAGAGCAGCAGGTAGCAGCAGGGCAACAATTAGCAGCTGGGCAGCAGGTAGCAGCAGGCCAACAATTGGCAGCTGGGCAGCAGTTAGCAGCAGAGCAGCATGTAGTAGCTGGGCAGCAATTATCGACAGATGTGAGATCAGCAGTCGAAGGGGAGCAACTTTCAGCAGGGGAAAGATCAGGTGCAGACGAGCATACCCTGTATAGCAATCCTCAAAGCAACCGTGGAGCTGGTGGTGATGCGCTGTTGCTAGTTGACATGCCACGAGAGACCAGTGGTGTAATGACAGCGGCGGCAGCAGCAACAGCTGAAGCATCAGTGGCGAAAGCAAAAGCAGAAGCAGAAGCGGAAGCAGAAGCAGAAGCGGAAGCAGAAGCAGAAGCAGAAGAAAAAGCAGCAGCAGCAGCAGCAACAGCAGGTGTAGGGGAAGCAGCAACAGACACAGCAACACCAACAGAAGCTGCAAAAACAGCAACACAAGCAGAAGGAGCAGCAGCAGAAGCAGCAAGGGGAAGAGCAGCCAATGCAGCAAGGCGAACGGGATTAACGATTGTCGCACGGGGAGAGGAACGAAGAGTGGTACAGACGGCTGCTACGCCAGCAGCAGCAAGAGGAGCAGGAGAAGCGGCTACAGACACAACGGCTACAGACGCAGCAGCTACAGACACAGCAGCAGCAGCCGCAAGGGAAACAGCAGCAAGGCAACTGGGGTTAACGATCGTTGCGTGGGGAGAGGAAAGAGAAGTGGTGGCTGCTATACCGGAGGCAGCAATGGCAGCTGTGGCAGCAACATCATCATCAGCTGCTGCTGCTGCTGCTGCTGCTGCCTGTGCAGCTGGCGTTGCTGCTGCTGGTGGTGCAGTGTCGGCTCGAACTGCGGGTGAAGCAGCAGCAGGAGGAGCAGCACCCGTGGCACAAGTGGCAGCATTGCGCGATGGAGAAGCAGCAGCAGCAGCAGCAGCAGCACATGCAGAGTTACAATATGTGGCAGCAGCAGTACCAGCAGAACCCACAGCAGTTTCAGGTGTTGATGGTATGAGCATGGATATGAGCACAGACATGGCCCTCGATGGGGATGGCGATGGGGTTAATGGTACTGGTAGTGTGATTGCTACTGATAGTCCCAATGCAGCTCCTGCAGGAGAGGCGGGTGTGAATGCTGATCATGCCTCTGATGCATCTCAGCTGTTGGTTTGGCGAGGAATCGAGGGTGGAGATGCGGCTGCAGCAGCGGCAACTGATGGTGGTGCTCTTGGTGCCGCTGCCGCTGATGATGGTTGGGACTACAATGGTGATGACGTGGACTATGGTGATAATGACGCAAGTGACTATGGGGAAAGTGAGGATGACGATGATAGTGACGGGGATTCGCTAGGTTCTTTGGAGCTGAAGCTGGGGATTCGGAGGAGGATGGAGGAGAGGGCGGTCGCTGGGGCTGGGAATGGGGCTGGGAGTGGTGCTGGCTGTGGGGTTGGGGGTGGGGCTGAGCGTGTGGCTGGGGTTGGGGGTGGGGCTGTCGGGGAATCGCAGCACTCTTTAGAGCTCAATTGGGGGATACAGAGGAGGATGGAGGAGAGGGCAGCAGAGGCGGTCGCTGGGGCTGGGGGTGGGGCTGGGGATGGGGATGGGGGTGGGGGCGACAGGGATTCGCAGCACTATTTAGAGCTGACCTTGGGGATACGGAGGAGGAGGGAGGAGAGGGCCGTTGGGGCGGTGGGTGACGCTGAGGGCGGGGCGTTGGCTGGGAGCAGGGGTGGGGGAGAGGGTGGCAACACGGGGAAAGGAGCGGGGGGCGAAGTTAGTGGGGGTGATGGGTTGGGGGAGCGTGGGGGGCCTGGAGCAGCAGGGGTGCAAGGAGAAACTGGAGAAAAAGTGGGAGAGGCAGGAGGGGGAGTGGGACAGGCGGGAGGGGGAGTGGGTGGCGGAGAATTCGGAAATAGGGAGCAAGGAAGAAGAGGTGAGGTGCGAGTGGCAGGAGGTGAGGAGGAGATAGGGAGCAGGAAGCCCGTTTTAGGGTCCGATTTAGGGTCCAAGGTGAGCGAAGATCCATCTAGAGCAAGAACAGGGGAAGGTACACCTACTGGGAGATCAGGTGAAGGTACACCCAGAGCACCAACTGGGGAAGGTGTGAAACGACAAGCTGTGGAGTCGGACGTGGGAAGGCAGGGGAGGAGACGACGTGAGGACAGCTCGGATCGAACAGATTTAGAGAGGAGGGAGGGGCACGGGCGAAGTTGCAGCGACAGACGTAGGGGTAGGAGCAGTAGGAGCAGGAGCAGGAGCAGGAGCAGGGATAGGCACAGGAGCAGGAGTAGGGATAGAGGTAGAAACAGGAAGAGGAGCAGAGACGGGGGAAGGGGGAGCAGCAGGAGCAGGAGCAGAAGCAGAAGCAGAAGCAGAGGGAGGAGGAGAGGAAGAGAGAGGGGCAGCAGAAGTAGGAGCAGGGAGAGGAGAGAGAGGAGGGAGAGGAGAGGGGGGAGGGACAGGGAAGAGGAGAGAGGGGGTTGCGATTGGAGGGGCAGAGAGACAGAGAGGGGAGTAATGGGAAGGTGGGGGGAGAGGGTGGAAGGTGGAGGGAGGGGGAGTGGGGGGAGAGCACGGATGGCGGAATATTGTACCTTCCAAGAAAGGAAGAGGTTTTTCAGCTTTCGGGCGCAGCCTGGTGGTGATGGTGGCGTTGGGACGCACCCAGGTGGTAATGGTGGGGGAGAGGAGGGATCGCCGGGGTTTTTGCATAGTGAGGAGCATGGGCATGGGAGAGGGTATGGTGTTCAAGCACAGACTGCTGGTGTTGGTGGGGGAGAGGAGGGACCTCCTGGGTTTGTGCTTAGTGAGGAGCATGGGCGTGAGAGAAGGTACGGCGTTCAAGCAGAGGCTAGTGGTGTTGGTGGGGGAGAGGAGGGGCCTCCTGGGTTTGGGCATGGGCCAGAAGCGAAAGGGCTGGGGGGAGTAGCAGCAGGGCCAGAAGCACGAGGAGGCGAAGGCTGGAAGGAGGGGAGGGAAGGAGAAGGGCGAGGGCGACGGAAATGGCAAGGGAAGAGGCTAGAGGAAGGGCAAGAGCGTTTGCAGAAAGAAGGGGGGGCAGCACCAGCAGGTGCAGGGAGTTGGGGGGGAGGGCGGGGTGGTGGAGGTACGGAAGGAGGAGACGAACGAGGCAGGAGCGAAGGGCCACTGGAAGCCCACGAGCGCTGGCACGAGGGATGGGGAACGGTACCAGTAGGTGTAAGGAGTTGGGGAGGAGAGGGGGAAGGCGGAGGGAATCAGGGAGGGGTAGGGACATGGGATTGGGGAGAAGGGGGAAGTGGAGGTGGTTGGGGGGGAGAGGGATGGGGAGGAGGGGGAGGAGAGGGATGGGGAGGAGGGGGAGGAGAGGGATGGGGAGGAGGGGGAGGAGAGGGATGGGGAGGAGGGGGAGGACAGGGGTGCGGAGGAGGGGGAGGACAGGGGTGGGGAGGAGGGGGGGGACAAGAGTGGGGAGGAGGGGGAGGACAGGGGTGGGGAGGAGGGGGAGGACAGGGGTGGGGAGGAGGGGAGGACAGGGGTGGGGAGGAGGGGGAGCACAGGGGTGGGGAGGAGGGGGAGGACAGGGGTGGGGAGGAGGGGGAGGACAAGAGTGGGGAGGAGGGGGAGGACAGGGGTGGGGTTCAGACGCAGGGGGGAGTGAAGGAGGGGGAGCATGGGGATGCAGTGTGAAGGAGGAGGAGGAGACCAACCCCTGGGATGGCTTTCAAGGGTGGGGGAGAGGCAGGGCCGAGAGTGTCTCTGAGGGGGGGGCTGAAGTGGGCGGGGGAGGAGGAAGAGCAGGTGGGGTGGCCAGGGGAATAGGAGGAAGAGGAGAAAGAAGAGGGAGAAGGGAACGAGAAGGGAGCAGAGGGGGAAGAGGAGAAAGAGGAGGGAGACGAGGGGGCAGAGGAGGAAGAGGAAGATTGGGAGGTCGAGGAGGAACAGGAGGTGGAGAAAGGGAGCAGTGGACATAGAGGAGGCAGACAGAAGGGGAGGTTTAGGAGCGGACATTGGGGCATAGAAGGTCGGGAAGGATTAGCAGGTAGAAGGGGGGGGGGGGGGGGGGAGAGAGTGGGAGATCTTGAAATAGAGGAACAGGAGGTGGAGAAAGAGAGCAGTGGATATGGAGAAGGCAGACAGGAGAGTAGGTATAGGAGGGGACATCGGGACATAAAAGGTCAGGAGCAGCAGGTAGAGGGGGAAGAGGAAGGTCGAAGTGGAGAAAGAGAGCAGTGGATACGGAGGAGGCAGATGGAAGAGGAGGTATAGGACGAAGAATCGGGAGTTGGGACGTAGAAGGCCAGGAGTAGCAGCAGATGAAGGAGGAAGAGGAGGATTGGGAGCAGGCCTAACGATTGGTTTTAGGGTACCCAGGTTCCAAAAAAAATAATTCAAAAAATCGTCAGCCTCAAGAAAATTTACGCTGATTCATCAGTGTTTCCTAGCAAAAGTTCGCTCTTCCATCAGGGTCGTGTACTAAAAAAACAATGATTTGGCAACAAGGAGAGAGGATTTCACTTTTTAAAAGTCGCATTCGACTAAGAGTAAATTCCGCATTCTAATAAGAGTCGTCCCTACTAGGCGAAATTCTCGACACCTGCCCGTTTGGTCAACTGAAAGTCTATCAAAATGTGACGGTCACGATCGATTGCGAGTGTTTCGACATTTTTCAACCATTCGATGGTCGCAAGTGATTAACGTCCACGATCGCCCAACCGGGGCGCTGCAAGGGCGCGAAGTTTCTCCCACTACCCAATTCCACAGCTTCCCGCCTCCCCTCCGTTTCGATCCTCCCCCCTCCCTCTCCATTTTCGAATTCCCCCCCCTCCCCCTCCGTTTCGCTTCCCCCCCCCCCCCCCCCCCCCCCCCCCCCCCCTCCGTTTCGCTTCCCCGCCTCCCTCCCGTTTCGATCCCCCCCTTCCCCTCCGTTTCGATTGTTAAATTATATGTTTGTTATATATAATTGTAGGCTTGGTAGCTGTTACCGAAATCTCCTTGTATCCCTCTCTTTTCTATTCTCTCTCTCTCTTCTCTCGTAACTTTCTCTCACAGCTAAACCCTTTCGTCCCGGCCATGGCTGCCTAGCCGCCTATCATTTCGTTGACTTCGTAACATGGTACCAGAGCAGGATCATCCTGCTGGACCGTCGTCTCTCGCTTCCGCTGCGTACTTCCTCTCGTCCTGCCGCGTCTGCATGGCGTCCTCGTCGCGCTGCTGTGACAGCGCCGCCGTCCTGCCATGGCGACGGACGGCTGTGGCCAGGGCGCTGGTTTAGCGCCGGCCAGCACTCCCGCATGCAGCCAGCGTGCCACATGGGGCGGTTCGCTTCGTGTCTCCGCTGCTGAAACCCCGCCCCCGCGTCCCCTCGTCCTTGCCGCAGCTGACGGCCGACTCGCGGCTGGATCCTCCCACTGTCTCGATGGTCGGCCACGCCGCCGAGTGGTGCGGGCTATGCCGCCGCCGCCGCTGTTGTCGGAGCCGCCGCCACTGCCACTGTTGCCGCTGACCCGTTTGCCACCGCACACCGCCACCGCCGCTGCTGTCGTCACTGCCGCCGCTGCCGCTGTTGCCACCGCAGCCCTCGACGCGGGCATTGCCGCATCGCACGTGGAGAGGTCAGCCGCGCTGACGACCGTCGCTCCTGTTGCAGGGCATGTGCAAGGGTGTGGGGGTGCTGCTTGTTGGGTGGGCTTGCCGCTACCAAGCCTAGGGGGTGTGTTAAATTATATGTTTGTTATATATAATTGTAGGCTTGGTAGCTGTTGGTGAAACCTACTGTAGAGGGTACAACCGCCTCCTTGTATCCCTCTCTTTTCTATTCTCTCTCTCTTTTTTGTCTCGTATCTTTCTCTCCTAGCTTAACCCTTTCGTCCCGGCCATGGCTGCCTAGCCGCCTATCATTTCGTTGACTTCGTAACATCGATCCCCCCCCTCCCCCTCCGTTTCGCTTCCCCCCTCCCCTCGGTTTTGATTCCCTCCCCCTTTCCCCCTTGGATTCGATTCCCCCTCCCCTCCTTTTCGAATCCTCCCCCTCAGGGCCTGTTCCTACGCGACACAAGGTCACGTCACTTCGTATCAAAACTGTTATTGATGGGCAAATTTGACTGGCAAAATCTCAAATGACACGAATTTGCCTTACATAGTCTCGCGTAGGAACACACCCTCAATTGAGCCGTGGACAGTGTGATTTTTTAGAGTTATTTTCGCATCATATGAGAAACCAGAAAAGAAATCATGCCAGCCAGATATAGCGAACACCCTGCCCGCTGCTCCCCGTTCTCCCTGCAATGAAATTGTCACTGCTGGAGAAGATGCGGCAATTTGGGTATGCCTACGGATGTTATTAGGCAACCCTGATCGCGTTCTGTGCACCCTGAGGATTCCAGGATTTCCAATTTCCAAATATTGAAAGCATAGCCCTCAGGGTGAAAAAAAAAATGCAGTCGATGACTCAGTCATGCTAGGAATGATTTTCTTTTTACCCCTTTTAGGAACTTTGCAAAAGTTAGGTAATAATAAGGATTGCGGGTTGGGGGGGTTTGTGGGAAGTTTTTTTTTTTTTTTTTTTTTTTTTTTGGTTGTTTTGTTTTTGTTTTTTTTTGTTTGTTTTTGTTGTTGTTGTTTTTTTTGTTTTGTTTTGTTTTGTTTTTTTTTTTTTTTTAATGGCTGCAAGGGACTTAGCCGAATTTTTCGGGCTGCGGGAGCTGAGGAAGGGATGTTTCTCGCTGTGGGGAATCAGCCTGAATTTATGGATCGCAGGAGGTGTGTGAGGAATGTGTCTGGCTGTCGAATTTCTGGGGCTACGAGGCGTGCAGGGGAGAAATGTCACTGGGTAGGAGGACTTAGCAAAAAGAAAATTGTTGCGATCTGGTGAGGCAGGGGGTTGGGGGGGAGGGGATCATGCGCCAACCAGGGGGGAAACTTTGTAACTCTCGCTAGTGTTTGTTTCGGTGTCGACCCCCGTTAGTGCGCTGAGGCATCATTGTCTACAAGAAAAAAAGGACGTTTTTTTCAACAGGGTTCAACCAGAAAATAAAACACTTTTTCAACAGGGTTCAACCATAAAAAAATGCTTTTTCATCAGGCTCAGTACAAGAAAACACCCTTATAAAAAGCATAAAAGGCGAAAAAATCCTGATATAGTGGGGCCTGATTGGGAGGTAGGGGACGAAAAAGAGGTGGAGGGAGGGGGCAGTGTGTTGAGTGACTGGGTTTCTGACTTGGTACATCAGAGCCAAAGGTCTTGGGTTCAACTCCCAGTACCAGCGCTGCAGAGGCGCTCGTGTCTTCCACCTATCCCAGCGGGGGGGGGGGTGTTGAGTGACCCGCTGGGGTTGCCCTTGAGATCCTCGGGGAAGGGCCACAGGTGCAGAGCCTGGGGGGCTATGGGCGCACTTACCCGCTATTCAACAAGCCCTTTTAACCCAGTGGTTAGTGACTGGGTTTCTGACACAGTGGACATGGAGGAGGCAGATAGGGGAGGAGGTTTAGGAGGAAGGAATCAGGAAAAGGGATTAAGTGGGATTTTACAGCAGACGCTCAGGGTGGCATGGATACTACTGATCAACATTTCAGGCAAATAATGTATGAGCATGTGAATTAGCAACTAAGACATAGCAGCTTCTGGTTCCTCTCTGATGTAGGCACATCTGTTCTCTCATTGCCGAGGTGTGTGCATACATAGAAAATATGGTACGGTAAGGTGAAAGTTTGTTTGAGAGAACCAGTAGTTTTCTAGAGTTGACATTCTCAAAGTAGCAAAGTGAGTTGTGAAAATTGAGTTGTGAGTAGCAACCCACAACGAGGGGATGTGCAAGCCTGTAAGGGAGCCCGAGGGAACCGCCGGATAGGGAAGGGTGGTGGAGCTACGTGCAATTACCGGACCTAAGAAGGGGTCAGCAAGAGCGACAACTGCAGGGGCAGCAAGTGGCGTGAGCGTAGTGTGGTCGCAAAAGAAGCAGGCAAACGCACCAGAGTCCAACGGCGATAGCGGCAGCCAGAGAAGATACAAGGGTGGAGCCAAGGCTAAACAAGGCAGAAGGTCCTACGCTTGACGCAGCAGGGGAGTCGAGACTATACAGAGTGGACACACCTACACTCGGCAATACAGGGTAATAAGGTCCAGTCACACTAGTGTCATCAACATACATGGCATACAAAGCATAGCGAATTTGATTCATATCCATCTCAAAGACCGGCACATGACGCGAACGAGGCTAAGCCAGTCGGGGAGGTTGGCGCAGGCCCGAACCGGAGACGGAAGAGGTCGTCGAGGCGGCAATAGAAGCGGGCGGTAGTGTGACCGGGACGGTCACACACGGTGCCGCGACGGGGGTCGGTCTAAAGCTGGTACTCGCAAGACACCGCACTGGAGCCGCCATCCGATGCTGAGCTGCGCGAGCCACCACTGCAGCCACCACCACCAAAATCGCCTAGCCACCATGGTGGCGGGGGTCCCCACGGCTGCTGCTCCTGCGCTGGGTCATCAGCCCCAGTCACCTCGTCTACACCACCGGCACTCGTACCACCGCCGCCACCCCTGCCTCCGCAACGCCCCCCCCTGGGGCGGCAGCCCTTACCCTGACACGACCGTGCAGAGGCCGCCACGATGGTCTCAGCAGCAGGGGTTGTCTCAGCAACAGCGGCAGAAACGTCAGAGTAGGTGCACTGGGAGGGAGCACAGCCCTGGAAAATAGAGACTGCCGCAGTATCGCTAGACCGAGCGATAGTGAGTTGACGGGTCTCTATCGCAGACAGGGTGGTGACAAAGTTAGTGAGGGTAAGGTCAGCGGGGTGGAGACTAAGGAAGTGGTCGCGGGCGGTGGCGAGGCGGTCAGGAAGGCGTGTGGCAAGGAAGTAGAGGGTAGCGCCGAGGGAGGAGGCAGTACAGTGAGCTTGGCCTCAGTGCTAGCAGCGCGGTAGCTAGTCTCGAGTGCGCGCAGGTGAGTAGCAAGGTCAGCGATAGTGGAGAAGGACACGAGATCAGGAAAGAGCAGGGGGAGACGGAGACGGCATGCAGAGGCAGAGGAGGGAATGGAATAGCGCGCAATGACGGCATCTAAGTACTCCTGCGCAGTCTGTACAGCCTAAAAGCAGGGATGCTCGGACAAAGGGGGGGGGGGGGGGGGGGGGGGTAACTGATAATAAGTTGCACAACTGTGTCGCGCAACTCCCAGACAGAGCGGGCGAGCTCAGCAGCTGCAAAGGCCTCACGCTCAGCCAGCGTGGGGGTGTCAGGGAGGGTAGCAGGCGGGTCCGGGCAGGGGAGCTTACTGTCGACGTGGACTGCCAGGGACTGGTCGTCCTGGCGCTGACCCTTCAGCTGGCGGTGGAGGACGGCGAGGCATGCCTCAAAGTCGACCACCAGACCCTCCGTGTCCAGGCGGAGCACAGCGTCCGCCATAACCACAGCTACAGCAGCTGACGACCGCTAGAGGAGGATGAGAATGTTGGAGAGGGGTGGAGAGGGGTGGAGGGTGGTGAAGAACGGTGAAGAATA